CCCCCCTCCCCTCCCCCTTCGACAACAACCCTAACACGACACAGCTCTTCGCTGGCGCAATCATGTACGACTCCACCAACATCGCCCAAACCCTGGTTACCTACAACGCCGCCTACCAAACCCTCCTCGACACCGACACCCCTCCTCCCCAACTAACTGTCCAACAAATCGCCTTCAACTCCCCCCACGGCCGCATCTTCGGAGTCATCTTCACCTGGAGCGGTCCCGACCTAGAGGAAGGACACCGCTGGAGCGAGAAAATCGCCTCCCTTGCCCCGGTCATTATGAATACTGTCGCCCCTACGACTATCCCCGAGTGGTTCGCGGGGAATGGAGCCCTGGTTCCGAAATCGATGTATGGAGCGCCCGCGACGTATAATGTGCGGAGGATTACGACTGCGTTGGCGGAGGTGATTGGGCGGTATTTGGAGATTATGCCGGATAATCCGGGGACGATGTTATCGATTCATCAGGCGAGGGGGGTGGCCGTCGGGGAGGAGGGGCGGTCGGTCTTTGCGGCCAGGGAGCCCCATTATATGTTGGAGATTGTGGGCTTCGTGACGGGGGAGACCGGGAGAGAAGGGTCGGAGGACTGGGCGGAGGGTATGGCGAGGGAGGTGAGGGAGTTGGATGAGGGGAATTTGTTGTCGACGGCGTATCTCTCGTTGATGAAGACGGAGGGGGTGGATGCGGAGGAGGTGCTGAAGCGGGCGTATGGGGAGAAGGCGGGCTTGGTGAGGCAGTTGAAAAGGAGGGTTGATCCGGAGAATGTCTTTGCCTTGACGGTGCCGCGGTTGAAGTAGATGCTTGCTCGAAGATGCAGGTTTGTGTGTGGAGTGAATGATATACTATCATTCGAGGGAGTATTGTGGAGAGGCCAGATGCTTAAATCGAAGGGTCATCAGACTTAGTTATGGGGATCTAACAGAGAACATCTTATTGATTCACTACCGTCACAAAGACGCATAGTCCTGACTTGGCTCTGCGCCGGTACTGGCATCTTGATTAATATAATCATCACATCCGTCTATTACTGCCCATCACGAACGCCAGATGCATGCATGATGATCAAGTATCCAACACATCCGCAATCGCCCCCAGTGCATCCCCAATCCGTCTCACTATATCAAACACATGAATCCCACTCGAGATCTCTGCCCACAGTCGCGCCGTCGTCGCCGCCAACCGCATGATATTCTCCGCCTCGTTGGCACCCGCCTCCAATTCGTCCTGGAGGTGCGTCTCTTGCACTAAATACCGCGCCATCGTGAGCAGTTTCTGCTCGTCGGCGCGGAGACACCCCATCCCTCCCGCTGCCACGGCAGTCGAAAGCGTCTGCATCCACCGCATGAGGAGAAAGGCACATTCGATGTGGCAGATCGAGTGCTGCACGCTCCAGTGGAGGGTTTGGGTCCGGGCAACATACGGAATCCCCACGCGCACCGGGATGCTGAGGGCGTGGATGCATTGTAGGATGGCGCGGTCGAGGGACGGCGAACGGGTGAGCTGGTCCAGAGGGGCGTCCCGGATAAGGGAAGCGATGCGGGTGGAGTCGCTGGAGAGGAGTTCGTGGCAGAGCCCCGAGTGGCAGTTCAGTCGGATGTAAGCTAGTCGAAGCAGCGCGGTGGCGTTGAATCCGAGGGGCCCTTTCGGCGAGTACGGATCCAGGGTGGATTCCCAGGTCGCTTCCCACGAGCACTGCCAGCACTTGAGGGCCGTTTCGATGGTTTCCAGCACCGGAGGCCGTATCGAGGACCCGGCTTGACGTTCAAAGTAGATGCGCTGGACCAGACCGTGGATGAGGAGGTAGTTGGAAAACGGTGCGATGAGGCCGTCGGTCGTAATGTCTTGTCCGTGGAAGAGTTTGTTGAGGGTGGCTGTGAATGGGCGTTCTTGCAGGTTGGACACGGCGCAATGACGCTCCCACGCGGCGGATGAAGCGGCCTTCCATTCCGCCTCGCAGGATGGCAGGCAGAGAGCGACTTCGCTCGTCAGGATCTGCGGCGGGACATTAAAATAAATCGAGTGGAGGTTGAACAGGATGTATGCCACCAGCAAGGTGCGCCGTCGCTGTTGGTGTGCTACCCACTCCAGCCAGCTCAGATTCCCCCGGTCGCAATGATCCGTCTCCTGGATCCCCAGTCCCCGCACGAGGGCCGCCAGCTGACTGCTCATTGCCAGGCTGTCCGGCACTAGGACTTCATCACTCCAGGCACTCATTGCCATGAGCACGATCAGGGCCTGTGTGCGTTGCAGCTGGACGGTAGCCTCCCGGTCAACGGCAGGACTTTTAGCAGGGGTGCCAGGTTCGTGCGAGTTTCCGGAATAACGAGAGGCAGACTTCACAGATGGGGGTGACCGGCGTGCTAGTTGACCGACCAGAGTCCGACGGCGATCGTGGGCATTGTGGTCCATCAGCGACCGTGCAGCAATCCATAACTGGTGGCCCTTGTGGTGCTCGAAACGCTGCAACGCACCAACTGCTGCCAGCGACAGGAGCAGCTCCAGCTCAATGGCCTCCGGGCGGAATGTGGGAACATGGAGGAACGGCAGATGGTCATGGAATCCTCGGAAGTAGCCTTCTAGATAGCGGACGAGGGCACACCGGGATGGTAGCGAAAAGTCTACCAAAGCTGACTTCTTTTCAGCGACCTTTTCCATGATTCTTTTGTAGGCTTGAGCGGACACTGCCCACGCGCACCCGGCGGTGTCAAGTTGTGCCTCGAGTCCGGTCTTGTGAAGCTGGTCGTCCATAGACGGTATCCGCCGTTGCGTTTGGTTCTGCGGGGCAACGAGATACCCAGGATAGTCCGCTACCTCGTCCTCGAAGCGACTGGGCCCATGCGGTCCGGCTGGCGTTGGAGGCTGCCATAGGGGCTGAGGGTCTGGTTGCCTCTGTGCGGGAAACTGCTCCAGGAGATGGGAGAGGGAGATGTCTGTGTCTAAGAACTGCGAGGGGATGAAGTCGGGGAACGAAAACGCAAAGTTATCACATAGGAGGTCTGGACCGAGAGGCACCCCCGACAGGCCCACCGGAGCGTATTGATCGATAGTGGGGAGCGGGTGTGATCTGTCGAACACTTGAGGACTACAGTCTGGTAACTGCGTCGGAGAGGGCAAGACCGGTGCGGAGATGCCCTGAGTTCCGAGGCTGGCGGATGCGTGTAGGATTGACTGGCCGGGGTGTAGTTGACTGGTCGAAAAAGAGCTAGATTGTGGATTCGAGGCCAGCCTCCCTGCGGGCGCTTCTACCCTGGAATCACAACGTGACAGTCGGACATGGCGACTGAGGAGGTCCCTGCGATGCCTTAGTTTAGTGATGAAGAGAGATGGCACTACTTACTGCCTGGAAAAAGACCGACCACAAGGACATGTAAACGGCTTCTCCTGGGTGTCTGAGAACAGTCAGGCTTATATAACAAGGCCATGGGTGACGGCATGGAACTTACGGGTCCGTTCATGTCGCTGCAGGTGCTCCAACCGTCGGAAATCTTTTCCACAGAACTGACAGGGCGGGACGTGTGATTTAGGCCTTCCTCTCGCCATGGCGACGGTGGATGGATATGATGATGGGGATGCCAGGAATTGGGGAAGAATTGGGGGAGGAAATCGGAGAAGAAATCGGGGAAGGAATCGAAGATTAGTCAGCGGCCAACCACACTCACCAGGAATATAGCTTCAGATCTGCTGCGTTGTCTGGCATCGTTCTACCACTGTTCCGTCTTACTTTGCATCACTGTCATGGTGCAGCACTGTGGTCGTAACTGAGATATGGATCGGTTGAGCTCAGCACAGCTGATTCTTCCAAGTACGGCTCATCACTCCGATCGTGAGCATTGTTTAATGTCTACATGGGATGGCCCCAACATGCCAACTATCGGTGCCTTAGAATCCACACGTATCTTCGGCCATAGTGGTAACTTCCAGTCCATCAATATCTACACGATAATCTAACTATTGGAAGAAATCATGTTCATCCGGACTTTGTTTCCATATGTTGGAGAAGAAAGTCTGCATCAATTTCTACCCCAACCCCGGATCACAACCATTTCACGCAACTGCAATCGAACACTCTGGAATTCTAATTTATGAATAGCGATGCTAAATCTACTATCAGAGAGCTCCATCACGCGACGTCATCGAGGACATACAGTTGGGGTAAATTACTTGACTGCCCGCATATATATTCGACCCGTTCCCCGTCTATCAAACTGTCAACCGTGTTGAACCACATCCATTATTCTAATCAAACTACTCCGTACTAAGCACTGCAACATGTCTTCCCAAACCGTCCTCCATCTCCCCTCCCGCGAGTCCTGGACCAATCTCACGGAATCCCAAGAACCCATCCCAACCGCCGGCAAGCACGAAGTTCTCATCAAAATCCGCAGCGTGGCCCTCAACTTCCGGGACATCGCCATCTCCACCGGCCATTATCCCTTCCCCGTCAAAGAGCAAGTCGTGCCGGGCTCCGATGCAGCAGGTGACATTGTTAATGTGGGTGAAGGGGTGTCCGATCTGCAGGAAGGTGACAAGGTCATGGTGGCTTTTGATCTAGCGACCATGTACGGCCCCATCAAGGGGTGGGCAAACAGCTTGGGTGGACCGGTTGATGGGGTCTTGAGGGAGTATATTGTTGTTCCGGCGCAGGCGGTGGTGAAGATTCCGGAATCGTCGTCGCTGAGTTATGCGCAGTGGGCGAGTGTGGTGTGTACGGGGGCTACGGCGTGGAATGCTCTCTATGGGAATCTGCCACTGAGGCCGGGTCATTCTGTTCTGTTCCTGGGTATGTTCCGAGTGACTAATAAGTCCTGATTTAGACCCAGCGCAGCTAATTGAGGAATAGGAACTGGCGGAGTGTCCATCACTGGCCTAGTTCTCGCTAAAGCGGCGGGTGCTACCACGATCATTACGTCCTCGTCTGATGAGAAGCTCAGACTGGTCAAGGAGAAGTACGGCGTTGACCATACCATCAACTACCAGACCACCCCTAATTGGGCTGCCGAGGTGCAGAAAATCACGAACGGAAAGGGAGTGGACTACATCCTGGAAACCTGTGGCGCGGGTACCATCCAGCAATCCATCGACGCCATCGCGTATGGTGGTATCATCTCGGTGATTGGCTTCCTCGCAGAGACATCTCAGGAGGAAATGCCCAATGTGGCGGCACTGGTGATTGGCAAGGGGGCTGTGGTCCGGGGCATCATGATCGGTTCCAAGCAGCTGTTGGAAGAGGCCGTGCGCTTCATCGGGGCAAGAGACCTCCCGGTGCCGGTGGAGAAGACGTTCCAGTTTCGTCGGGATCAGGTGGTCGAGGCATACGAGTATCTGGCTAGTGGGCAGCATGTTGGCAAGGTCTGCATTGAGTTCTGACGGATGGGTGTATATGTTTGATGAAGCGTTGATGGTATATCACACATCATAGACATATCCTAGATGCACTACTTCATTGGATGCTGTTCTCTAGGTCGCTATACTCGATCCTCGCGAACCATATTCCGATAAGGATTGGTGGGATCCTGTTCCTCCTCCTCAGCCGATGGAATAGTCTTCCGCACCCGACAAGGATTGCCCACGGCAACAGAGAATGGAGGAATGTCCTTGGTGACGACGGATCCGGCTCCGATGGTGCAGCCCTCGCCGATGGTTACTCCCGGCAAGATGACGACGTTGCCACCGATCCAGCAATCGTCGCCGATCCGGACTGGATGGCCGAACTCGACAAACTTACGTCGCGAGAGCACGCTGACATCATGACCGGCTGTGAAGATGCTGACGTTGGGACCGAACTGGACGCGGTCACCGATGATGATCAAACTGGTGTCGAGGGCAGTGAAGCTGGTCTGGTCAGAGTGGACCTGTCACAGAAAGGCATGGAGTGATGACTGACTTGAAGTTGAAGAAGCAATCCCGTCCGATGACAATGTTACACCCGTAGTCCGGGTTGAACGGGGGTTCCACGAAGGTGCCCGCGCCGACTTGGCCCACCACCTTTTGCAGCAGCTCGAAGCGAACGTCGACGATCTTCTCGTACGACACCGATTTGGCGTCGAGGTTGTTGTAGTCCTGAGCGACGCCGCGGGCCCGATGGCGGGCTTCCATCAACTTGGGGATGTTAGGGTTATACCTAGGGTTGTTATCACCGGACAATCAAATCTCTCCAGCACCAAGGGGGCATTACTGACAGCATTCCGGAAATCATGCGCTCGTATTCCTCGCACAGAGGAACATGGTTCAGACCGCGAGCGATCTCAATGATCTCCGGGCGCTTTTCAGTGGCTGCGGCAGACATGGTGGGATGCAATGTGGTATCGGGGAAGATGATGCTGGTTGGAAAGGAGAAGAATCGGAAAGTGCGGGGGCGCTGATGGACGGCGCTGCCCGCGTGTCCGAACCGCGGAGAATTGACCGGGCCGACACAGAACAAGCATGGCGGTAACAAGGGGAGCTTGGGGTGTGAAGAGGAATTGATACGCCTATAACAGCGAGCCAACTAGTGCGGTGAGGGGAAGAAACAGATGAAGGGGGGGGGGTAGATACTGGAACAGAAACTGATAAGCTTGGCCATGCATCCTTTCCTGCCTAATACTTGAAAGACTGCGCTGATCCTAGTCGTCTCCTCAAAGATCATTGCCGATGATTGTTTTCTTCGGATGACAAGCAGCAGGCCCCTAAGCCCTACCACTCCGTCATGATACTGCAACTCATTTGCCCGGGTTATCTCTTCCTGTAGACGGTAGCTAGATCGCAATAACTATATTGAAAAATGCGCACAGTTGATGGGCGTAATTCGGGAACACCCCACCGGCTAACCTGGCATCAGCGTCATCCATCAGCAAGAATATCATGATTGATGGCCCCCATCCATCAATCCAAGTCTTACCTTTTAGTTTCTCTAGCCTCGGTCGCAATTGACAAGTTACCCCACCATGGTCAGACCCCGCTGTCAACCTCAACCACTCCCTCCTAGAAAACGCCCGCACATCCCGCCGTAACACCCTCCAGCATCACTAAATTCCACCATGTCCTCCCCCACAAGAACCACTACCAACAATCATTCTCGTCCACGGCGCCTGGCACGCCCCCGCCGCCTACCAGCCCTTCATTTCCGTCCTCGAATCCCACGGCTTCACCGTCCATGCCCCCCTCCTCCCCAGCTGCGCTCACTCCCTCACCTCCACCCAAACCCAACTACCCTCTCTCCCCGACGATGTCACCTGCATACGCAACCTCATCACCACCCTCACCAACCAAGGCCACCGCATCCTCATGCTCCTGCACTCCTACGGCGGCATCGTCGGCACCGACGCCATCACTCGCGATCTGACCTACCCGGATCGCCAATCCCGTGGTCAACCCGGCGGAGTCCTCCACCCCACCTATCTCTACGCTAATATGCTTCTCCCGGGGGGGGGGGGGGGGAGTATCAGGAAAACGGTCCAAGACGCAGGCATGGATCATCTCTGGGGAGAGTTCATCATCAATGGGTCGGATGGATTGACATTTTTCGAGGGATCCCATCGCGCAGTTGTTTAATACGGTTGAGACGAAAGAGGCGGAGGAGGCAGTGAGGCATCTGGTGCGGTTTCCGTATGAGGCGTGTACGGCGGAGTCGGTGGGGGAGGCGTGGAGGTATATTCCTGTGACGTATGTGTTTACGGAGCGGGATTATACGGTGCCCAAGGAGTGGCAGGATCGGATGGTGCAGAAGGTCAGGGGGGCAGGGGGCCGATGTGAAGACCCTGGTGTTGGATTCGTGTCATTCGCCGTTTTTGTCGAGGAAGGGGGACTTGCTGCAGGTGGTGCTGGATGCAGCGGGTGATGAGAGGAATGAGAAGTGAGGTGGCTGGTGGACGACGCAGAATGAAGCAGCAAGCATTGGCCTGGCCTGCTGCTGGGAAAATAATTCATGGCTTGAGTCTTCTGTGCAAATATGCGACGTTTCGATCGGATCACCGCAATGCTTGACTGAAATAGTTGGGACGCATCTACACGGGTCTAGATCTAACAATCAGTCATATCCGTGGTCAAAGCACACTGCAGGTTTCATCGATGCTCTCTCAAAGGTCTAAAGTACATTACCAGGGCAGAGATATTGCCCCATCCTTTCAGCGAGATATAGTTGTACACATTCTGGAATGATTCCAACCGCCTGATATGTCTGTCCAGCAACCAGTCGCTCATGCTAAAGCCCCCATCCCAGCCACAGCTGCAACCACCAGCACCACTGCACTCAGACTGAATGTGACAGTTGTGCCACCGGAGGTAGATGTTGCGGTGGAGGCAGAGCTACTGCGGGTAGCCGAGGAAGTGATGGTCGCCCGAGTGCCGGTATTCGTTGTTGACTATGAAGCACGTGATATTAGCTTTCATTCTCAAAGTAACCACGGCTCTTCTAGCAGGGAACATACGTAGTTGGACGCCGCAGTGGAAGTCGCTGCAGCGCCGGTGGCAGAAGAAGCGCTGGGCGTAGCACTATCGCCGCATGCCTCGGCCGCAGACGCCACGTCGTCCCCATAGTACTGCCAGATGTTGTAGGTCAGGGCACACTTGAGACAGGCGCTCAACTCGGATTTGTATGTCGAGTTTGAGCAGTAACTGTCGTGGTCGCTGTCTTGGGAGATAAGGATTACACCACCTGTGAGGGTTAGTCGGATGCATGAGGCAGATCGTTGATAGCACTAGAGTAGGCAGCTGGGGTTCTGTGGGATTCCGATAGCCAAACGCTGCGGAAAACAATTATACGTACCGCAATTCGCGTGGCATTCATACAGTGGACTGCCAGGCTCTATCGACTCTCTCCTCAGCATCGGAAAGGCATCGGGGAAGCCCAATGCCAAGCTGGATGTGACCAGTGCTGCAACAGCAGCTAGGAGGAGCATAATCCGTTGCATCTTGCAACTGACAGAGCACAGACTTCTCGGTCAATGAATGGAAGGTATGAACAGGAATTTGCAGGGCCCAGGCGGCGATTGTTGAAAGGGGCAGGGGAGTGATTGGCTATCTGCAAAGATCGTCGAGGTGGATCAATGTGATTGGGACTTGTCGGCGAGACGGGTACTGTCATGTTTTATGTCTGGCGGTATATCACTCGGTCTATCTCACCGAATGCAATCCATCCTCCTATCGTCCAAGCATCGGCTTGTCCATCACCGGCAACTTCCCGAGTTCTGTCAGGCCACTGACATTCTATTGTTGCCAGTCAACCGGGACATTCGGCCAGCCGGCAGTCTTTGCACGCTAGCGTATATTCCTTCTAAGTTCTGTCCATGGTCGACTTGCCGTGGCGTGTTTAGCGCGGTGGCTAGACTAGGTGCTATGGCTGCATGGGAAGGAGGAGATGCCCGGTATACTAGGGAGACAGCGAGGTGGCCCTTGCGAAGAGTCTAATAAATTAATCGCGCAAGGTGCAATGGATGGTAGACCGGTGAGCCTTCTACCCCGTGACTACTGGCGTTATATCGGAACCGCCGACCTACATCATATCTTCTCTTCGACTGGCTCAATTTGTCGGGCATGGGCATCAGCAGGTCCGGTTATCGGACGTAAGCCCACTTTCGGCCTGAACTGCCAGTCCAGGTAGGAACGTATAGTGGAGTAGAGTCCCGGGTAAAACATTTTGGCGGCATCCTGGTCAAAGCTTTGTCGTTCGAGTCAGAGTGGATTCGAGTGACAGAACTTATCTGATCCGAGGGACAACACCAACAGTAGAGCTAGACCGCGGGATATGTCGTCACATGGTCAAGGGACAAATCCACTAAACGGAAAAAACTCTGGATGCCAAGAGTCCCAGACGGAGTCCCTCTTCGGCTTCGGGGCGATTGTACGAAGAAAGGAATCAGGCCCTTGTTGTCATCGAGTCATGGTCAAAGGACCGGCGGCTTGGCAGGAAATAATCCATTGGCAGCAAGATTTTCGTGGGTGAGTCGGGGTCCTCAGGGTTTTGGACCCACATGGTACCTTATCCGATGAAGGGGCAGGTCCGTAGCTTTCACCAGCTGCCGTAGGACGTAGTTGGCCCCTACGTCAATGCCAAAGCAGAACATTTCAACCATCTTTATGTGAGTGCGCCGGATGACTTTGTCAATCACATTAACAGAGAATTCGGCTCTAGTTTCAGAAATTGCCATCGAGGTGGGTGAGCAGGAGCCGGATTGGCCCGCGGTGGAGCCCACATCTTATCAATCTGATATGATCTGATGCCGGGAATTGCCCCTTCCGGTTGGCGCTGCTGGTGCAGCCAGGGAAGGAGGGGCATCGACCTGTCTTCTTCTCCATTCCAGAAGCAGTCTAGTTTCCGGTGATTGAGAACTTAGCCCACCGTTAGTGGGCGGCAGCCTACCACTTCTCTCCGGAGGAGCTCGCGTGCTTCTCGAACTGGATGCTTTGTGGACATTTCGAGCCCGAGTGGATAGTATCACATGCCAGTTTCTTCCAACGGCTAGCCTGATTGGACTGAGCACAGGTATGTCTCGAGACCGGACATAGAGCATTGTGGTGGCAGGATTCAATGAATGCCTAGAGCTAAACTGCCTGCTGTGAGGCCGGTATATAAGAGCGGACATTTCAGCGATGGACAAAACAGGTTGGGATCATCTCAGTTCATTCTCTTTGTCCGTCAGCAAGGCCAAAGCTCAGTGCAAGGCATATCAGTGTTATTACCTCTATCACAACCCACTTCCCTTTTCCGAACACGATGTCTCCGATTACACTTCTCACTGGCGTGCTGGCTACGGCTAGCATCATGGCAACCGGTGTATATGCCGTCGAAGCCACTGACATGGGGGCTGCCGCTTTCTTGTGGCCACCGGACAGAGCTTGGACAGCCACTTGGGATACCACGTCTCCTTGCGGTTCCTCCGCGGGTGTCGGGAATCGAACGGAGTTCCCTTTGAGTAAGTGGCTTGTGATCCAAATACCTGTGTTGCATGATCGTTGACCTGACTCTTCCCTTGCAGCGGACGGTTCTGTTGCCATTGTCCTTCAGACGGAATCATACTCGGTCAACCTGGCCATCTCGTATGATGATAGTGCGTCCTAACCAGTATCCGTCTTTGTTCCATATACTAACATCCAGGCAGATCCCACGAGTAATGCCGATTTTGTCACCACCGTGTCTGGGAAGAGCTTCCCCGATGTGGAGCCTGGCCACGAGTGTTACTCCGTCCCCAACCCGCCGTCCAACATCACCTCCGGAGCCAACGCCACTCTCCAGTTGAAGTATGTTTCTGACTTTGACAATGACGGCAACGAGACCTACTATGCCTGCGCGGACATCGTCTATGTGCCCTACAGCTCCTTTACCACCGATATTCCCTGCTTCAACGTGTCAGAGGCCGACACGACCAGCTCCTCCTCGTCTTCATCATCGACATCGAGTAGCAGTTCAAGCAGCAGCTCCGGAAGGTCACATGGTCTGTCTGGAGGGGATATTGCAGGAATCGTGGTAGGTAGTGTTGCCGGTGCTGTTTTGCTCGGTGCGGCAGCCTTCTTCCTGGGTCGCTACTGGCAGAAGAAGGTGCAACGAGAACACGCAGTTGCCATGAACATGATGAACCCGGTTCAGAAGACATGGTCGGCTGAAACGGCAGGACGGCAACAGCAGGCATGATTTACGGGCATGACAAGAATAATGTATGGCGATGTAACGGTATTTTAGTCCGGTAGTTTCACTGGGGATTTCCAGAGCATAGGATGATAAATGATGAATGTTCTTTTCGTATTTCCGGACACTTGACGTGTTACTCGAGACTTGATCGATAGTGCTTCCGCATCTATACTGCACAACACCCTATCATATGACTGGAGATGTTCGTATGTGTTGTTTTGTCGAAGCGCGTCGCCGCCCGTCCCATAACTCAAGTCTGGAGAGCATGTCGGTCGGACAATGAAAGGGATGAACTCATCATCAAACATCCACAAGGCAGTACATCCCCCGAGAAGAGCCATTACTAGCGAAGGATGAATATGCTGAAGCAATTCATGTCATCTTGATTCATCTGGCAGATGACTGACACTATTCCAGCCAGCTCAGGCCTCCCCGACTTAATGATTTTAGCACCTTTGCCGAAGACACTGTGATCTGCTCGCCCCTGGCAATATGGGAGATCGAATACATCATGGAAGCAGCACTTTGGGGGCTGCAAGAAATATTACACAAGCAAGGTCTGGTACATGGTGGTGAGCTTATATATATTTATGGGACGGATGGGGTAGAGCTGCTGGGCCTTAGACTTTGGAACAGAGAGTGTCGTAATCAATGGCTCCGACCATGATGATGGCAATGAAGATCAAACAGTCCTAGCCACGATTACTGTGAATATATCTGATATCAGCTCTGGTAAGGTATTGATACGCAACCACATTCACCATACTACCAACTCTCCGACAGTCCTATCCCCTAATTGTGGCGTTGTGATGTCAAGCCTCGAGGTTTACTTCATGAAACCCTGGACCAGCGCCATTGATATTTGGGCCTGGGCATGGTGGTCAGTTCGGATTCTTGACAGGCATCAATTACCTCTGACCAGACTTTGTCGCATCAGGATATTCATCTCATCTCAGCTCAAAGTACCCTCTCCGCACCGGAGCTTACGACCCCGTCATCAAAAATACGACCCTCGGACAAAAGGTCAAGGTGGTCCAAGCTTCCCAGGATCATGACCTCAATATCCAGGAAATGGATACTTCCGGGGGTGTGATTTCTCGGGATTCAAGGAGGTGGATCTAGCATTGGACGGGCCGCTTGATTGCTCTAGGGGTTCCCGAGTACGATGTGGTGGCTCTCTACGCCGTTCCCGAGCCTGAGCCTACCAAGAGGATGACTGCGGAGGATGAGTTGTTTACAAGTCATGAAACAAATCTCTCCACGGAAATCGAGGATCGGTCACATGACTTTAATCGCGATCACCTGACCGGAACACCGCCTGCAACCGCGTCTTCCCCTCTTCCCCTTCCCCACTCCTCATCCGCTGAGGGTCGCCGTGAGATATGGCGACTGACCATGACGTCTCCTTTGACCATGACGTCTCCTTTGACCATGGTTGGGCATGCGTGCTCCCGACTGTTATCTCAGAATGTACCATTCATTGACTAGCCCCCTAGAGTTGCAGTTCCTTGGACTAACACTAATGCATGGGATGCTTAGACACCAAACACCTAGACGATCACCCGGGCGGCCGCCGGCCTAACATCCGATAAATACCAGGACGATCCGAGTCTAGACGACGTCGGGTACAGGGAACAACATGCCAGACAGGGACAAAAAAATTTGATAGACCGGGGTGAGAGTGCCAGCTGGCCAAGCCAACACCCTTTTACCTGAATACGAGCATGTTAGCAGGGGGTCGCAAGGCTGAGAAGCTAAGCTTCCTGGACAATGTTTAACAGTGGGCACAGCTTCTGGCAACCCCACCATTCAGAGGTCCCTCCAGCCATCCCGTGGTCACGACTCTCGTGCACTACTTCAATCTCAGACCTTCCGAGCCCCCGCGCAATCCCAATGGCTACCGTCGTCTTCGTCCCTGGGGGGCCTGGATCACTCCCGACTTATACCAGTCCTTTCTCAATGCCTGTACTGCCGCCGGTTATCCCGTCCACTATGCCGATTATCCCTCCCTCGATCCGGTCGATCCCACCGTGGCAGACTGCAAGACAGATACGGAGGTGATCAGGAAGATACTGCACAAATTGGTGGAAGAAGATGGTCGGGATTTTAACCTGATGATGCACTCTTACGCTGGTATGCCCGGAGCAGCGGCAGCATTGGGCTTGGCCAAGCCGCAGCGAGTGCAAGAGGGCAAGCCAGGTGGCGTCATTGGAATGGTGTTCCTCGCCGCCTTCTTGGTGCCAGAGGGATTGAGCTGTGCGGGCTTGCAGGGTGGGAACTTACCCCCTTGGATCCTGCTGGACAAGGTCAGTCGATGATGTAGTATCCCAGGGACGTGTACTGACTCGATGCAGCCGGCACCCAACCCCAATATTCCCGCAGACGCTGTCGCCAACTTCGCTTCGGATGTCGATCCAGCCCTGGTCAAAGACATCGGTGAAAAGATCAAGCCCCATTCCACGCTTGCGTTCAATTCACCCCAGCCGGCTCCTGCCTGGGCGGACCCCGCCTTTCAGGGCCGACTAGCCTTCATCGTTACCACTCGCGATCCCGCCGTCCCGAAAGAGGCACAGTATGGCATGATGGCTGCTACTCAGCAGCAGTGGATCGTCCAAGAGATGGAGTGCAGTCACTGTGCACCGTTCTTGGACCGGATCGAGGAAAGCGTCCGACTGGTCGGCGAGTGTGTCAAGGAGCTCAATGGCAACAGTACTTGCTAGTTCATCTATCTACGGTTTCTACTTGCCCAAGACAGCGACTCCATGGCGAAATAACAGACTTGGATACACATGAATTCAGTGAATGGGAACTCCGGACCAACTCCACGATAGAACAGCATAAAATTACGCCAGAAACGAACCTATCTCCAGTCTATAGATGCAGAATCCCCTGAACGACCCCCTTCACCTCTTCCAACATATCCGCCTTATCCCGACCAGCGTCCAGCGTAATCACGTCCCCCTCTGACAGCATCGGCTCCTCCAAAATAGCCAATTGCGAGTCCACCATCGACGACTGCATGTAATGATCTTCCATAGCCGACCGATCGACCATGCGCTTCTTCAACTGCTCCCGATCGCGGATCGACAGGAGCAGAAAGGTCACCGCGACCGGAAAATCCAGCAAATCTGACAACCGTCGCAGTTCATCCCGGTAGACCGTGCGCAGCGCAGAGCATGTTACAGCTACTCCCAGCATGGTCGAATGCTGTAGTCGATCCATCACGGCCCCCCGGATATGTGCCAGCCAGTCCCATCGATCGCGATCCTCCAGCGGGGTCCCGTTGGCCATTTTCTCTCGAGCGGCCGGGGAGTGTAGGTCGTCGCCCTCGATTACGGAGAGGTTGAACTGCTCAGCTAGGGCGTGGGCCGCGGTGCTTTTGCCGCTGCCACATGGTCCCGTTAGGATGATGACTTCGCGGGCTGGTTGCAAGGTGGTCTTCGCGTTCGGTGATGTGGTCCAGCAGTGAGTACGGAAGTATCTAATGAATCGGGTGACAAGATCCGGGGTGAGTCCACCTGCCTCGCGTAGTGCAGGCGCAGCGGCAACGGCTAGCTTGGTGTCATACAGCAGCGCACGGTTGGGTCGATCGTGGTCATATTTGCTCGCGAAGAATTCGAGGAGCTTAATAGGGGGGTTGGCGTCGGGGTCCTGGTTTGAGTCGCGAAGCCGCTGCAGCCATCCTCGCGGAGGCAGTTCCTCGAATTCCAGCCCGGCTTGCCGTAGCAGAGGTAGCAGGTCTCGCGTCCAGTGGTTGAGGGTTGGGTTGGTTACATTCACCACGTCACCGGCAACCGGAGCCAGGGTCAACTCGATGACACTGGTGGCGATCACGTCCACGGGGGTCCAGGAGAGAATATCATCGAGCTGTGGCAGCGCGTGGATGGTTTCCGCCGTCTGGAAGATCATGGGAATAGCCTCGGTTGTGTTCCAGATTCCGCGGATGGTGTCGGCGATGATTTGGCCCACGCGCAACACTCGAGCCGTCATTCCGGTCTGTTGTGCGGCCCGGTTCACAATGTGCTCCGTGACCAGCTTCGACTGCGCGTATCCCATTCCCTGTGCGCAGGAAAGGGTGTCAGGTAGGGCCTCCGGCACCCACTGGCCTGGGGTGCGAGCGACCGTGCTCACCGATGAGCAAAAGGCAAACCGTGCCGGACGGGGGCCGCGGGCATCCAGGCAGAGGTCCAGCAAGTGACGAGTGCCCGCAATGCAGCTGGCCTCGAAGCTCTCCAACGACCAGTTGAAGTTGACCGACCACGCGCAGTGCATGACCGCTGTCACGGCGTGCACGAGATGGTCGTAGATTACTTCATCGAGGCCTAGCCGGATTGGATTGGAGAGATCAGCGGGCAATGCCACGATTTTACGCTCCGCCGCCGGAGTCATACTGTACGACAGCTTGCGCGTACGGAGTGATTGGTGGACGCGACGGAAGGCTGTCTCGCGGGAATTGGCACGAACGAGACAGTAGATGGTTTTAACGTGTTCCAGCTGAGCTAACTGAGCGACAACATGGGCGCCCAAGGAACCAGTAGCGCCGGTAACGACAATGTGTTCACCCTCTCTGTCACGAGGGACCGAAGCGTGGATCTTGAAGTTGCTGCTGTATTTCTCAATCAACCCGGCCATGCGGTCCTCGACGGGGATTTGCTCTGCCGGTCCTTGTCCTAAGCGCAGACGAGTCAACTCGTCCGCCATGGCCTGCAGGGACGGGTGCTCGAAGACAAAATTCTGAGACAGTTTGTTGCCTCCGATGTCCAGTGTCCGGAGAATGGTAGTCCGCAACCGGATCGACTGCAAGCTGTCCACGCCCAGGCTAAAGACATCGGTTGTGCCTTCCAAAGTTGACGGATCGATAGCTGGGGCTACCGCAAGGAGTTGCTGTCGGAGGAAGGCTACGAGCTCGCCGCCTTCAAGAAGCTGGTCTCCACTAGCATCTTCCGCGTCGTATATCTGATCAATCTTCTCCTGATAGTCTCGGTAGAAGGCCGACCGAATGACCGTTCCCTTGTCTGTCTTTCTGTACACCGCGTCTGGTGGCAGCACATGGATCATGTCTCGGGAGATGTAGGCGTACGCCGGCAGTTCAGCATTGCAGCGTTCAATAGAGGGGAAGACCGTCTCGATTAGTTCATCTTCGGTCTTGCAGTGACTATTGACTGACGGAATCAGGAACAATCCCAGCCTCGGCTTATTGGCCCCAAAGGCGATAGCCTCGGCCACGTTGGGATCATTCCGCGCCACGCCCTCGATGATCAGCGGGTTCGCCTTCTCGCCATTCTCCAACACAAGGGTATCATCCAACCGGGCATAGTAGCGCCACGCGTTGGCCTTGGTGGGGTGCTTCTCGAAGAGATCTTTGGTCGCGTACGAGTTGTCAGGTCGGTTGCTGGCGACTTTGGAGGGCCAGCCTTCTAAGACGCACAGCTCGTAGATACCGGGCATCTGCTCTTCCCAGCGCAGATACGGTAAAAGGGACGGGCCAGGACGCACGTAATCCCAGTCTAGATCGTCGCGCTCGCGGAAGGAGGTCATCAGTTGGCCGGTCTCTGTGGTTCCATAGTGGGAGACGAGGCGGACCCCGTTCTGCACCAGCTTGTCTCCAATGGGCTTGGGACAGGCCGAGCCCCCAAACATGACGAGTTCCAAACGTGCCATCATCTGCAGCCCCTCAGCTGATTCAGACAGTAGCTTGAGCGCATACGGCACTGCGTAGAGAATCTCAATCTCGGGATGTTCCTCCAAAGTGGACAGCAGGTTGGGGGCCGTCAGCGGCAAGTTGGCGTTGTACATGTAGATCAACTTCTCCGAATGCACAGCCCGGAAGAGGCAGCTGATGCCGTGCGCGTGGAACAGGGGCAGGGTGATGAACCCGCGGAGGCCAAAGTTGTTGGCGTAGTTCCTGAGCGCTCCGGAGTGAGTTTGGTAAATGGGCTTTGGATGACCTGTCGAGCCGCTGGAGTGAATAATCCAGCAGACATGCTTGGCCTCGATGGCGCCATCCAGATGAGCCGAGGGCAAGGAGAGGGTTGCTGTCGAGGGTGAGTCGTAGTCCTCGCGCGCCAGCAATGGCTGCTGAATGATGCCCGTCCGCTCAGCCACCTTCTCCCCCATGGTCTGAAAGCTGGAGTATGTAATCAGGAAGGTCGCCTTGGTGTTTTCGATGAGGCTGACATAGGCATCCTCTGCAATGCGCGTGGAGAGGAGAAGGACGGTGTGACCGAGCCGGGAGACGGCCAGCAGGGTGATCAGATACTCGAAGTCCGAGGGGGCCAGCAGTCCCACCACTTGCACTGGGTCCTCGGATGACTGCCGCTGCGGGATGGATTTCGCATAGTGAACTGAAGCTGCTTCGACGAATGTGTTCAACTAGTGAATCGTTTGTCAGTCATAGACTGACCGGGCGCTGTGTGCGTGAAGATGTACTCACTTGAAGAGGGGTATAGTAGGTGTAGTCTGTCCCTGATGACGGGTAGGCGACAATGGGGTCATCGCCATGGTGTCCTTTGGCTCGCGATTGCAGCAGATGATTAATAGTGTGAAAGGTCTCTTCTAGAACTTCAACTTCAGGCTCCGTCACCGAAGTTGCCGGCGATGCCACACTCGGCGCAGTGGAAGTAGAACTAGAACTAGAAGAAGGAGCAGGAACTGGTGAGAGAACAATGGACGCCATCTCGTAAGGTGAAGGTGACGTTGACGTGAAAGAGATGAGCAGGAGAAGAACACTGAAGATCGGGGTGAAGCTGAGGTTTATGACAGGCCTCGTTTGCACGTGCCCTCCCCCAACGCGGCCATCCCCTACAATTCCGGCTCTTCCTGCGTCACTTCCATTTCGGCTCCCTTTCTCCGAGCTGACCTGCAGGAAGAGGAATTGGAAGTCGTGGATATCCTCGGCCGACGTTTCCGCCTGGTATCCCCTCCTTTTTCCGCTACTCTTCCCCACAGGCGGAAAAGGCTCTTGTGCGGGGAAACTGGAGAAATGCGATTCCTGAACTCGGAATCATGGCTGCATGACTGTTAGATCGGATTTACAGCAGAGATATAGGGAATTCCGGGCCTTGCTGGCTGGCGTGATCCGCATGCACTGGCCAGAGTAATGCATTCATGCCCCGATGATTATACAACTCAACGCTCTACGATGGGTGTCTACATGGACGCAAGTCCCAATGCACATCAATGCTTTTATTGCTGTCTACCCGTAATTGTTGAAGAGTCGAGCTCCGGATCATAATGTACAAACGACACCAGCCGGGACAGCACAGCAAATTCCAGCTTTAACTTGACCGTATAGAAAAAGGTCTTCAGCACCGTTTGCAGAATAAACAAATTCATATATTCCAACGCCAGCAGGGAGATATCCATCAAAATAATTGCTGTATTGATCACCAGTAGCTGCTCCATGATGATCGTGCGCCTCTTACTCCTGTGCGGGTACATATACAGTAGCCGGAAGGTCTGCACGATGAAGATCGTGGAGATGATGATCTCCTGCACGAAGAAGCCCGTGAGTTGCACCTTGGCCCAGATGTTGTAGAGGAAGGCAAATACAAAGCTGCCGTAGACGGCGCCGTAGGAGAGGACGATTTGCGGGATTTGGAGGATGATGGCATCGACGAGGATCATGTATCGCACAAAGCGGAGTACCTTTCGGTTGGATGTGAGGAGATGGAGTCGCGAGTATAACACCACCGACTGTCCGGTGACCATGATCGCCCACCCCGTCGTGGAGAGGGTGACTGGGATCCAGATGGGCGCCAGCATGAAGTACTTCAGCAGCAGTCCTAGGGCTTGGGGGATGATGCCGAACGCGGTCGAGACGAGGAGGCTCCAGAAGTAGAGGCCCCGATAGACATGAAAGGTGAGAAAGACCAGGATGACGAGCTCAATCGCGCTGTACAGCGCGCAGCCCAGGAAGCAGGCCAGAGCCGCCTGGATCACCAGGCTGTCGCCGGTATAACCCCCGGCGATGCCCTCGACGGGGGCCGAGTAATTGGCCATGTCGCTGCGGTGGTCTCGACTCCCCGGGCAGTGCAACCGGTATTTAGGCGCATTCTGTCGCAATTTTTCTACCCCTGGAAGGTATCCCCATGTGCTGATCGACAAGGCACGAAATCGAGGGGCTCGTCAGCCGCTGCTCGGCTACCTTGACCTCCTCTGACTGGCGATCCATGGATCGACCAGCCCGACCCCCGGACGATCGGCCCTCGCCACCAACCAGCATCGCCATCGCAGGGGGCAAAAGCCGGGGTTGAGGCAATGCGAATGGACCCCCCCAGATCTCCATTTGACGCCGACCATTGACTGGCGTTCGACGCTTAAAGTTCTGACGCTGTCCGTCGCCTGATTCTGCCCGGTTTTTAAACTCTCGTGGAAACAGTCTATTCGTTCTAAATACAATGACGATCATCTAAACGGTGAACTTAACCTTGTTGGTCGGGCCCGCGTCCAGTGCTGTCTGGCGCACGGCCTCTTCCCCGACTTCCTCGAAGATGTCATATCCCCAGTGCCCCGGGAAGTTGAACCGCTTGTGGCGCTCCAAGGAATTCAATTGGGCAAACGCCGCCTCCGGTAACTGACGGACCTGCAGGTTGGCTGCGATCCGCGATGGGGTGACACTCTTTGATAGGACGACGGTCCCGCGTTGAACTCCCCAGCTGGCCAACAGAGGACCTGGATCCAGGCTGAGCTCGTTCGCCACACGGTGCACAAGAGGGTCATCGACCGTCCGGGGCTCGCCAGTCTGATTGTTGCCCAAGGGGGAGTAGGCCTCGACGAGGATGCCTTGACTCTGGCAGAAGCGCAGGAGGTCCGGTTGTTACAGGTAGGGGTGGGCCTCGATCTGGTTCACGGCGGGAACGACCGAGACTTGGCCTAGCAGCTCCTCCAGGCGCCGGATATTGAAGTTGGACACACCAATGGCACGCACCTTGCCGGTCGCCAACAGCTTCTCCATGGCTTGGTAGGTGGTAATGTAGTCGATATCGGCCAAGTCGAATACCCCGTCGTCCCTGAGAGGGAACCACTTGTCTCCGCCTCTAAACGCACTGCACAGTGTTTAGCCTGAGCTCCGTATGTACGGTATTTATCAAGGGCAGGTGCTGGGAGGGTCTCACCAAGGCCAATGCATGAGATATAGATCCAAGTACTCCACACCCAAGTCTTTCAGGGTCTTGTCCAGCGCCGGCTCCACGTCCTCCGGGGCATGCTTAGTGTTCCACAGCTTGCCGGTGATGAAGATGGCGTCCCGGGGTACGCCGGACTTGCGAATTCCATTGCCGACCTCGGTCTCATTGCGATATATGGCGGCGCAGTCGATATGGCGATATCCCTCCTTGAGGGCCACCTCGACGGCATTCTCGACCTCGAAGGGTTTTGCTTGCCAGGTTCCGAATCCCACGGCGGGGATTTTGGCGCCGGTATTGAGGGTGAAATGCGACGGAAGAGACATGGTCAGATGCACCCGCGGCAGCAGCAATAATACAAACAAAGAATGAGTAGACAATCGAATTGGTCACTGCGTCGGGCTGGGGATGATAGTTATAATGGTGAAAGTGCAAGCAGGTGGGTCGGAAATCCGCCCAAGGCCGGCGGAAAACGTCGGAAAAGCATAGCTGCGCATGAGCCGAGAAACGGACTCGTTCTTACCCCGCCAGACATGCCCCTCAACTTTCTGATACCCAGACAGTTACGAGCACACCCCAGCAATATGTCCTTCGAGAAACCCTCCTTCGACGACCTGCCGCTCGACAAGACGGGCCCGCCAGGCAATGCCTGGGGACTGTTCGGCCCCAATGACCAGTGCGGCATGCTGAATCTCCTTACACCCGAGCGGACGAGTGCAGCGGCGCGAGAGATCATTGACGGAGTGCGCATTTCCACCGACTGGGCCTTGGACCGCATCTCCACGCCAGCGTTTGATCGTGCCCCGTTCGCCCAGACTATCCACAATAAAGCCCCGAGGTCGGTCAACGACGATGTCTTGCAGTTCAACACGCAGACCAGCACGCAGTGGGATGGCCTGCGACATTATGGCTACCAGAAAGAGCGATTGTACTTCAACGGTCGCACCCTGGAGGACCTGCTGACCACCAAGGTCAACGGCATCCACGGTATGCCCGACAGACTAACCCTTCCATGCATGAAGGCCATTCTAACAGTCTGTAGCGTGGGTTGAAAAGGGTGGCATCATCGGGCGCGGAGTCCTGCTGGATTATGTCGCCTGGGCTGAGGCCAACAACGTTCCGCTCAAGCCATTCACGCCGCAGTCGATCACGGTCGCTGTCCTGGACGAAATTGCGAAAGCCCAGGGGACGGAGTTGAAAACCGGGGATATTCTTTTCCTCCGATCCGGGTGGGGACGGGGATATGCACAGCTGTCCCAAGAGGAGATCACCGACCTCGCCAATACCCCATCACCGCCAGCAATCGGATTGGAGTCCTCGGAGGCAACGCTCCGATGGCTCTGGGATAAGGGATTTGCTGCTGCCGCCGGCGACATGCCCAGCCTCGAAGCGTGGCCGTGCCAGGACCCTAATTACTTTCTCCACGAATGGTTGCTGGCTGGCTGGGGCCTTCCCATCGGCGAGATGTTCGATCTGGAGCAGCTGAGCGAGGAGTGCCAGAAGAGGAAGCGCTGGTCGTTCTTCTTCAGCAGCGTTCCGTTGAAGGTTAGCCACGATTCATCCTGCAGAAGGAAAAGTTCAGATGCTGACGTCTTCTTTTTTTTATCAGGTACCCGGAGGCGTAGCAAGTCCTCCAAACGGGGTGGCCATTCTGTAGCGCCGTGCTGTATCGAAGGATAGCGAGTCAGACAAGGTTCTTGCCAATGATGCGAGGAGAATGCATCTTGGAACGATATAGCTGCGCCTCCATCTCCTTGGCCATACTAGACATGATATAGAGGATATGGCCCAATCAGACGAGGAAAGAAATTCTGCCAGGAAGGGCTGCTGGCAGGTAGCTATCGATATGACAAAGTAAATTCTAGCTCGTGCAATGATAACTTTGCTCTTCATCACAAACTTTAATGGGCGGAAATGCGACGGAAACGGCGGGAAAGCATTCAGCCCAAAGTAAATTCCTCTTGCTGGGTAGGAAGATGAAATACCTTCTTCAATGTATGTCAAGCGCTTCGGATTGCTGGGATCCTTAGCTCTAGCCAAGAAAGAAAAAGTAAGGGTGAGGGGATAAGGAATGGAAAATACAATCACCATATCTAACAGGCTGTAGATGAAGGATGATGGACAATTGATAGGCGTAGCCCCTGCGCGTGCCGACAAAGTCCCGAGGATATGTTGATTAGATTGAGAGCCCGCATTGCCTGATGTCAACCCCAGATCCAGGAATCCGATGCATTCCCGCCCGTGGGGTCCCCGCACTGACAATGGCGGGCGGCATCGCCTCTGGGGTACAGTTGCCGAGCAAGCGCCGAGCAAGCGATATAAAGCCAGGCTGCGGGAGTGCGAGACGGAAGCTCTCCGTTTCCCTCGTTTGACCAAGGACCTCCTCTATGTGTCCCTCTAGTTTCTTTTCTTGTGGCTCTATTAATTCGATTTTTTAATTATTCCGTGGTTGTCTTGTGATTGCATCTTGTTCCATACTTTATTGCTATTGGCAAGAACGGTCAGAAATCACCAATATGGCGGGCATCGACTCCAAGGCATCCTCCCTGCATGTAGAGTCCGCTGCAAAGCCTTTGGATAGGGTTGATGAGTCTTTCGAAGGCTTGTCTAATGAAGAAGAGCGAGCCCTGGAGAAGCGCCGTAGGACTAAACCTCCCTCGATGCTACTAGTGACAGCCCCATGCTGACCACAAGCAGTGGTGCGCAAAATCGATCTGCATCTGATTTCCTCGTTATTCCTACTGTTCATCTTCAACATCCTGGACCGTTCCAACATCGCCAATGCCCGCCTGGGAGGACTTCAGGAGGACCTGGGTCTTTCAGACACCCAGTACCAGACTGCGGTAGCCATCATGGTGTGTCTCAGTTGACATAGGTTATGAACCCGAGCTCTAACCATGTATTCCGTGCAGTTTGTCGGCTATCTGCTGGGCCAAGTCCCTAGTAATATTCTATTGACAAGGCTGAAACCCTCCCGTTATCTCCCAACCGCCATCTTTGTCTGGGGAGGGATATCCATCTGCATGGCCGCAACCAAGAATTTCGCAGGCATCATGTGCGTACGTGTGTTTCTCGGATTCGCCGAGTCGCCGTTCTTTTCCGGTGCTCTGTACGTGTCCTGTCCAAAGAGCCGTCCTTTGAATGGGGCTCTTACTCACGTTACAACAGACTCCTGATCAGCTCCTGGTACAAACCGTCCGAGATTGCCGTCCGAGTGGCTATTGTATATTGCGGAAACACCATTGCCAACGGATTCGGCAGCATGTTTGCCGCTGGGGTCATGAGCGGGTTGAACGGCAAGGGGGGGCTGGAGGGCTGGAGGTTTGTTCTCTTGCTCAACCTATCTCACCGCAAAGGCCTAATTGCCATGTGTATAGATGGCTCTTCATCATCGAAGGGGCGGGCACCATGGTAGCCGGCATTCTCGCCGTGGCACTTCTGCCCGATTTCCCTCGCTCCGGCCAGCGGAAGTGGCTATCCGAACAGGAGCAGCGCTTTGCGGAGTGGCGTCTGGCCCGCGCGGCAAATGACGAAGTTGATGAGAACGGATCAGTCCGAGACGGACTCAGGGACGCGCTGTTGGATCCCAAGGCTTGGTTGCTCATCTTGATCCAAATCTGTCAGCTCTCATCCCAGAGCTGGACGTACTTTTTCCCGGTGAGTCCATAATCTCTCATTGTGCGCTATCGTCCTGCCATCTCTAACTTGTCGCAGACCATCGTCCAGACACTGGGCTTTAGCAATATCATTACGCTGCTGATTACCGCGCCCGTCTATGTCTTCGGGTTCATCTCTGCCCTTGGGAACTCCCTCATAGCGAACCGGACCAGCCAGCGCGCGGTCCTAATTGCCTGGCCCCTCTGCGTAGACATTGTGGGAAACGTCATGGTCATTTCATCGCGCGCCACAGCGGTCAGATACGTTGGCATGTTCTTGATGTGTGCGGGCTCGTACTCCGCATTCAACGTCGTCCAGGCCTGGATTGCTAGTACGATTCCCCGTACGCGAACCAAGCGAGCTATTGTGTACGCGTTGGTGAATCTTTTCGGTAACTCGGCCAATATCTACGGCTCCTATTTCTTTCCCACGTCGGATTCACCCCAATACCGCCCAGGGGGGATTACACTGTCTGCATTTGCGGCCGCCGGAATCGTGTTGACGGGGCTGTTGGCATTGTATCTCCATCTGCTGAATGTGAAGGCACGGAGGGCTGAGGAGGAGGACGGACAAACACGATATATGTATGTCTGGTAGTTGCCTGTCGAGCATGAGATACACGTCAAGATATAATCAACCGCAGCATAAGCCATGGGGATCATCGTAATCGTAGGGTTTCACGTCTCATCCCCGACCAATACCGCAAATATACGTAGTCTTTGTCCAGTACTGTAATACATCCGAAGAAACATGATTTCCACGGTGTAGTTGTAGAAGGCTTACTTCGCTGGGATCTCTTTTGTGCGTTCCACGTCTCAAGACATCTATTATCCTGGATATGCTGAAAACAGTTAGCAACCATTGTATGTCCTTACAATGGCGTAGAAACACTTACTGATAGGCAAGCTATCTAGCTGTGGCCAGAAGTCTGGTATCAGGTCTTCGCCAATGACGAAATTATCCAGAAGAGACTGGGTCCGTGGATCGAGTAGGGTTGGGTCGACAGAAGCATCCAAGCCTGTGAGCATAGTTGGCAGTACATTGGAATCCGATGCATAGTCCCCGATTGCTACCCCTCCCCCATGCTGGTCACGACCACTGACCTCGAGCACTTGTGCAACCCCCCGATGTGTTGGTTCGGAGGGCATATGGTGTGAATCGATCGCATCCACAACCGGGTTTAGCGTTGGGAACCCTAGCCTAGCCAGTTCGCTTCGGAGACCCTGCAGAACGACATTGTATTTCCAAGAAGGTGCATTTCGAGCCGTCGCATCAGCAAGGTGGCTCAGAGCCGCTTCGGACTTTCTGTACAACGAATATTCACTCAAATCTAGATCTGAAACGCCATCAGGGTTCGAGACAATGTCTGGACTCACAGAGGGCAGACGGCCCCGCCTGACCTGGATCAGATAGAGGTAAATAACCGATAGAGCATTGAATGCAATGTACTGAGAATACCAGAAGGCCGGGAACAATTCGTCGTCGCGCACAAATCCCAGAATAATCTCGATCGCGTCTTGTGCCGCAGTGAGACAAAGAAGGAGATGATGTTGGTAGCTGGCTTGGTGTTCAGGCCACATATGCCCGTAGTCTCGCAGCAACAGGGGGCGGGTGATGAACATCAGGGCATGATGCCGCGCCAGCTGCAGAACAGTAAGCTGGCGCCGAAACACAGGCACCAAGCTGCTGGGCTGAATGACTCCCGATAGGAACGGGGGCAGTTCTGCCTGCCAGTCCGCGACCCTCTCGCATAGAGTCCTGATAGTCTCGATCTGCTCTCGGCTGGATAGCCCGGTAAGGACGTAGGCTTCTTTGGCCGCTTGGGTGAGAATCTGGGCCAACACGGCATGGAAAACCGGGGCATCCATCACGCAGTCACGCTTCGAAAGTCGTCTCTCCTGTCTTGTCAGATCGTCGTCATTGATGCGTGTCGGGAGGACTTCGGTCAAATCTTCATCTTTCCAAAGTCGCGGGCGACCCAGAATGACGCTCATATATTTGTCCAGGGTATAAGAGCACCAGACGAGACGCCGTTGGCACTCCCTCTGCACCAGGTCCTCATCCTTGTCATGGTTTATTCTCGCTCGACTGCTGTGTAGACCGAGCGCCATCATCAGCTGGACTGCTGTTCCGAAAGTAAACCAAGCCTTTTGTGCTCGGGAGGAGCTCAGCAGATAGAGCACCATGAGAAACCGGGCTTGGACGGAGGCTAGACTGGGGGCACCCATCTCGAGCGACAGCAGATGGTCGGCCTGCGCATAGTAGAGCTCGCTCCTCTGCCAGCCATCCGCGTCCGCATCTCTCATCCGCCCTTCCTCGTCGACCCGAAACATGCTTGCCGTACTCAAGAGCAGCAGTATGATTGCCTGGGATGCTACACCAAGTTTGTTGCCGACCCCCGCTCTGTCACCCTGGGGTGTTTCGGAGTACAGGCGATGTAGCAGCGTTTGGACTGTGGGCTGATGCAGGACCCGGTAGGTAGGGGCTGCAAACTCGAAATATCGGCGAATCAAGCTCTGAGCCTTTTCCCGGTCAGGCCAGGCAAAACTCGTCAGCTGGACCTCCGGCAGGACACGATCGCCGTACGAAAAAATAGAGACCGTTGAAGGGGCATCGGCCTCCCGCGAAAGGGGAATGGATTTTGAAGGAGTGGTTCGCAGGTCCTGTACGACTTGCCCCAAGAACGAATGGGCAGAGCTAGGGCCCCAGTATTGACCGGGCACGTCCACTGAGCCTCTCTCTTCGGATGCATTGATGAGGCCCGACTGAGGGGTCCTCCTAGCGATCGGCGGACTTGGAGCTCGATCTGAGATGGCGGACCGAGCGATGGTTGGGGATGACTGTAGCTGATTTTTCGGTGTCGGATGGCCCCTCGTCCGAGATGAAGAAGGCGGAGGACTGATTGCGACGCCCCGATTGTAGGCTGTGTCGTAGGTACATGACAGCTGGCGGCGGGCGCAAGGACCGCAAGGGATGGTGCCGGTACAGGCCTTTTTCTTGGCCTTGCAGGCGTCGCAGGCGCGGCTCACCTTGCGGATCTTACGCACGCGAGCGGCAGGAGAGTCCTCCTCACTCCCCGTCATTTAGCTGGCAAACTGGGCCAGAAAGTGCTGCACCGCAGATGCTCATCGCATGGTTTCGGGGTTGGAGATGCCTGGCAATCCGATCCGCCGCTTTTCCGCCTGGGAATTCCGCCAAAAGATCCGTGACGCGCTGACTCAGTGATGACTCAGCAAGAGAATGCGGGGTCCGCGAGCACTGGTATAGCAGCACGGAAGGAAGGAAGAAAGGAGGGGGATGTCGGGTCTATCGAGGCACCTAGATAAAGAGATGCAAGTATACATTAGCATTCTCCTATCAATAACTAGTGGTTGAATGTTACGGAACTTTTTGGCAGCTGTTACTTCTTGTGGTTTATTGTTCACCTCACAGGGTGTTCAAGGAGCAAACTATATATTTCCCGAGCAAGAGCCTGTTTTTGGCCTGGTACTAGTAAGTACTTGCAGTTTGTGAGTCTCGGTCTGGGTCAATGAACTATCTAGCCCAGATACATAAGGCAGACGAGCTATACAAGACTCAAGAAGCCAAAATCAAGGAGCGAGCAGTTGCAACTCAGTTGAGGATGATCCGACGCCGACCGCCAAGTCAAATCTTGTGTGTAGTGCCTGAGGCCCCAGAGCTAATCCCAGTCCGGATTCCCCGCGTCCGTTCCCCAACCTGTCAAACCTGTCAAACAAAACAACCACCACCATCTCCCATCTTCGACTCTCCTCAACTTTCACCCGCTCCTACCCCCTGAAACTGTTGGCGTGGACTGCCCCCTTCGATATGGAGCTCAAGGCTCCCAAGGCCCGTTGGCCCGTCGACCCGTTAACAACTCCGCCTCCGCGCCCTCCCGGACGAGGAAGATGTCCTCGTGGCGCACGCCAAACTGGTCGACCAGATATACACCGGGCTCCGAGGTGAACGTCATCCCCGCTTTAAGGGGCGTCCCGTGGTTACCTTTGTTGAGGTACGGGCTTTCATGGGCTAGGGAGACACATTAGCATCACTCTGACTGGAATTGTCTCCACAGCCCTTCCTTCAATCACCTTTGATACCGATTCCATGACCAACGCGATGGGTAAAGGCAGTACCATACCCAGCATTGGTGATCACCTGTCGGGCGGCAATGTCGACGCTGGCTGCACTGGAGTTGACCTGAAACTGGCCGATGGATCGCGTCTGCGCCTCGAAGACAATATCCCACACCTGCTGGCATCAACGAACCGCCTCCCATTCATCCACGCGGGTGAACTTACCTCCAATTTCTCCTTCAGATGCGCTGGGACCGGCACACCATCAGTCGGTTGATCAAGGAACGGAGGGAAAAATGTCCGACAAATATCCGACGAATAACCGAGAAGATGGGCGCTAGAAGGGATCAGCAGGGCACAACGGGGGACAGCAGCGGACTGACCCGACGTCGATCAGGACAAATGTCTCCGGCTCAAGCACCTTCGAGCCATTGGTGCCACCATGCGGGTTCGCGGCGTTCTCGTCTGGATTCCCGGTCAGCCAGGCTGCGCCCCGCAGCGGTCGGAAACATACCAAACAAGACAATGTCGAAGAAAGGCTCCAAGCCGGCTGAGCGGAGGGTGTTGTCTAACACAGTCGCGATTTCATTTTCCGTCAACCCGGGGTAGAGGCCTGGCGAATCTTAGCCTATACAAACCGCAGATGGCTTGGAGACCTTACATTTGCGCATCTGCCGAACGGCTTCCACGGTCCCGGTATTCACGGCGCGGAGAATACCCACTTCAGCGTCGGACTTAATCTGCCGTACTCTCTCGACCTCTCCCATCAGCCCAACGATCTCAAATCCCACCTGGCCCAGTCCTCGTTGGATAAAGTCACGCATCTCCTCGTCTACCATGATCCGAGGAGTCCGATCCAGAGCCGAGAAGATCACCGAGTTCTTCAACGTGTCGTACGGGCTCCAGTGTTCTTCCCAGGGGATGATCTCGATCGGGTCCACAAACGGCATGTTGAGCAGTCGAGCTCGTTCAGCTTCAAATGAGGGCGACAGGAACGTCGTCTTCGCGGTGACCTGGCCAGACGAGTGGCGGTGTGGTTGCACCACCATCAGGAAAGGGCGCTCCTCGGGCTAGATGATAGTGAGCATGCAAGCGCTGGTGGGCAGGGATAGGAATTCAGACCTCCCACACCTCCCATTCCGGCTGGCTCACGTTCGCATAGTATTTGAACGTATATCCTGGTTCCACCACGAAGGCATCTGCCCCATCGGCAACCAGAGCCCGCGCCAGGCGGTTGCGGCGCTCTTCATATTCCTCGACCGAAATCGGGGCTGCCGTGTCCAGGAAATAGTATCCTGTTTCTCGGAGATTTTCAATGGAACATTTCTCGAATGCCTCGTAGCGGGATACTGAAGACGGTCGATTGATGTGGTTGAAGACCGGCAGTGTCTGGACCAGAGTCAGGGGCCGTCGCCGATTCTTATCTTTAAAGCGCACCTACCACGAAGATAGTGTAGAATCCGAGACAGAGTAAAGCCGCTCCAGTCACGCAGCGCCGGATAGCCCCTCGGTGCTGTTGGTGTTGACGAAGAGGAAGAGGTCTCCCCTCCTCCAACAAGGGCGGATAAGCCTGCTTGTCCAACATGGTGTTGTGGAAGTTGACGAAACCTTCGCCGGCTACGGGAATTGCTTTGTTGGACGTGCCTCTGCAGCTGTCGGGGGGAAGATCCGAGCACCCGCCGATCTTGGGCCTGGCGTCCTTTAAAGAGGGGAACGAGCCAATGCTGCGGTTCGCTCGAGATTCCCCACCTCGCCATGGCTTGCTCTTCGCCAACCAGATGCCAGGACCACGCAACGTTATCACAGATCGGGCTTATCAGCGAATCTCGCGGGTGCTCCGACATTTGTGCCGCGGGTTGGATAAGCCACGCTGGCCTGGGCTTATCAGATATCTGCCCAGCATCTCGGCGGGGAGACAGGCGCGGATCGGCCGACAAGACGGGAGAGATACGCTGCGGCCGACAGAGATAAATACACGCACCTCGTCATGGTGGGGTTCAATTACCTTGGGGCCATTGCTGGGGTGCTACAAAGTAGAATGGCTGTCGAAACCGCTCCCACCGAGGGCGAACGCCGGACCCAGGCGGCTGAAGCAGCTCAGCCTTCCAAACATGCACAGGTGCAGGTATCCCAGGATGTGGTCGACGAGGTGACCGAGGGTACCCATGGCCGAAAGACCTCGAAGCTCTCCGTTTTGCTGATGATCGTGTTTTCCGGCCTTGCCATTGGGTCGGATGGCTTCAACGCGTCCATTATCGGCAATCTCGAGCTGATCATGGAAGTCATCTACCCAAAGTCGCTCACCACGGCCGTGGCGTCCCGCTTGTCCAACGCCTTTATGGTCGGCATGATTATTGGGATGTTGTCGTTCGGGTATGTGTCGGATAAGGTGGGCCGCAAGGCCGGCGCGGTCTTGACCACGGTGATTCTGGTGCTGGGGATTGTTTTGAGCGCTGCTGCGAGCGGGACGGACCACGAGGGAATGTTCTGGATGTTGATTGTTGCGCGAGGCATTGCTGGCGTCGGTGCAGGCGGGTGAGTGCGACTACCAACCCCGTGGATAATCTTGCGGAGACCATGCATTCTGAGACATTGTTTAGGGAGTATCCTGTCGCCGGAGCGGGCGCGGCAGAGGCAACCGATGAGGAGAGAGCTGTGCGGAACAGACGGGGTTTTATCTTTGCGATGATCTCCGACCTATCGGCGTCGCTTGGGTTCGCCTTCGGTGCCCTTGTCCCCCTCCTGCTGCTACTCTGCTTCCACCAGCAAGTCCGTCACTATGAAGCGGTCTGGCGGATCTCCTTGGCCCTTGGGGTGATCCCACCGCTGTCAATCTTCTGGTTTCGCTACCGGATGGCAGTCAGCTCCGCCTATCGCAAGAGTGCGATGCAGAAGCAACCCGTCCCCTACTGGTTGGCACTGAAGCGGTACTGGCGCCCCTTGCTGGGTACCTGTGCTTCTTGGTTCATGTAAGTGGCTCGTCTCTCTGGGAACCGCTGATGGCGATTCTGATGGTCATTAGCTATAATTACATCTCCTACCCCTTTGGGCTCTTTTCGTCGACGATCGTCGACCGCGTGAACCCGACCTCCTCCCTGGCGCTGACCATGGCTTGGGGCACCCTCATCAATTGTTTCTACATCCCGGGAGCGTTCATCGGTGGCTTCCTGTCCGACCGGATCGGGCGGCGGCGAACGATGGCGCTGGGTTATCTCCTTCAGGCCGCCTTAGGGTTTATCCTGGGTGGCGCGCTGGGTCCCATCGAACAGTCGCTACCGTTGTTCATCGTGCTGTACGGCGTGTTCCTCACGCTTGGGGAGGTGGGACCGGGATCGACCATCGTGGTGACGGCCAGTGAAAGTTTTCCGACCGCCATTCGGGGCCACGCTGTGGGATTTGCGGCGGCGTGGAGCAAGGCGGGGGCCGCCATCGGGACGGCGGTCTTCAAGCCGATCCTAGCGAGCTGGGGCGATGATGCGTCTCGAGGCACGCAGGCTGTCTTTCTCATTGGATCCGGGTTCGCTGTCCTTGGGGGGTTGCTGGCATGGTTTGTGTTCCAGGATACGGATCAAGCGTTGGACAATGAGGATCAGGCTTGGAAAGAATATCTGGCTGCCAACGGCTATGCAGATGTACAATGGGGCGTTGCTGATCGCCAGGGCCAGGAGCTGGAATCCAAGGCGATGCAGGGGTAGTCTCGAGGGTTCATTTCCTGCTCGATTGAGAGTCTTTCATCATGATACTCCCATTATTATCACAATGACAGTCTTTCCCATTTGTTTGTTCATCTGATGCCATTGGAAACGATACCACCTTCTTCGGCCCAGTTCTTACGTGCAACGCCGGTTGTGCCTATATCTCATCGATTCATATCGCACGGAGTCCACCGAAACGTGTATCAGGAGCAACCTTGTTGTCGCACATGTGCCAGTCTGGCTCTGATGAAACCGGCATGTGGATTTGCGTGGCAGTCACAAGCATTGCCCTTCTGACATCCTATGTTACCACGAGGGGTGGTACCTAATTTGGTCATGGGATCGAACGACCTCTGGGGGTTCCGTACTTCCTCGCGGTCCAGCTGCTCTCCCCTCGCTTCGATGCCCTCAAATTCCTGGACGTCCAGAGTGAACAAACCGGGCAGGAATGCGAGCGAACGCATCTAGCCTCCGGAGCATTTAGGCTGGGAAGGTGATCAATCACAACGACTTCAATGTCAGGATTCGGAGACATGCCAGAAATAGGAATTGTGGGTAGCTTCTTCGAGACCCGGATGATGTGCTCTCAATCGGACCGTGAACTCGACAGACCTGGCAGAATATCAACCTAGGTTTTCTGGTGATTTTATGTGATAAGAACAACCACCACCACTAGTTCGACTATTACCACCACCACTACTACTACGACAACGACGTTTCTCGACAAGAGCAGTAAAGCATGCGTGGAGATGAGCTTGCTATCATCATTCATCATCATCATTTATGCTAATCATTCCTTTCTAAGCTCATCCATCCCGCCAACCGCGAGAAATCATGTACACATCAAACAACTCGTCGACGCCAGCATCAACCTCTACTTCCGGAAGGCCACCGGACTGGGCAGCGCAGTCGGGGTGTTGTTCCGGGCGCGCGTCTGGACGAGATGCTCGAAGGAGGGCGCCTCCTCGACCCGCGGGGTGAACGGCTCAAAGTCCCACAGGTAGCCCAGGGTACGGAGGATGGACGAGGCGGAGTAGGAGACGGTCTTCCCCCCGACATTCGTGCCCCTTTGCTCCACGTAGCCCTTAGCGACCCACGGGGAGATCAAGAAGGTGGGGATGCGTCCGCCCAGACGGTTGAAGTCGAGGGTATAGCGCTCGCCAGTGGGGGTGGTGGCCGTGTAGGTCAAGTTGTCCGGCCGGGGCGCCAACGGCGGGGGGACGTGGTCGTGGAAGCCGCCGGTCTCGTCAAAGCTCAGGATGAAGAGCGTCTCGCCCCATTGGGGCCCGGCACGGAGCGCGTCGTAGACGTCCTTGATCAGCTTCTCGCCGTCGGAGATCAATCCGCTCGGGTGCATGGAGTTGGTGCCCACGCCGCAGCACGAGGGGTTGATGTAGGTGAACTCGGGCAGGGCGCCGGCGGCGGCATCGGTGTAGAAGTTGGCCAGGGGCCGGATCTTGTCGGTGTTGTTGGTGGTGTAGGTCCAGTTGAAAAAGCCGGCATCGGGACCGGTTCCGCCCGCGGTGTCGTAGTAGTTGATCCAGGAGTGGCCGGTCTCGGTCAACTGCTGGAAGATGGAGCGCTGGGGGAAGGCGTGCTCGCTGAAAGCATCGTCGTTGTCACCGTGGCCGTAGGAGGTGCCGGACACGAGTGCCGCACGATTGGGATCGGTGGGCTATGTTCCGTCAGCGTCAGCCATGTTCATGGGGGGAGGGGATTGGGGGATTCACGTACGCCCGGGATGTCCGAGTGCCAGTGGTTGAAGACCACGAAGTTCTCGACTAGCGAGGTGATGACCGGCACCTGATCCTCGGTGTAGTAGTTCATGACCTGCACCGACAGCTCCGTGCGGTTGGCATCGGCGCTGTAGAGGCGCAGCTGCTCCTGGACGAAGCCCTGCTGGGTCGGGGTCAGCTTGCCTGCCGCGATGGCGCTGTTGTCCGGGTTGAAGGTGCCATAGAACTCGAAGTTGTTCCCATAGACCGCGTGATCCGGGTCATCGGTCACGGAGTCGTAGTCCCGGGCTGCACTGCACACGACGCCCTCGGCGAGGTTGGAGACATTGTACGGGTTACAGAAGGGCCCGTTGTTGATGGGGTTCTCCAAGCCCCGGATGGTCTGGCCTCCCAGCAGGTTGTCGACGGAGCGGTTCTCCATCACCAGCACCACCACACTCTTGATCTTGGACTTGAGGTTCTGGATGGAGCTGTCCGAGTGCGCCCGTCGGGGCTGGCTGGGAATGGCTCCCGCCGCGGCCGCAAAGGCCAAGAGGCCGAGGAAGGCACTGGGATGCATGGTGGAGGACTGAAAGGGATTACCGTACCAGATACAACAAACTGGATAGGAGGTTGCTTCCATGCTTCTTATAGCGGACATTGTCTGTGGTGCACCCTCCCACGTGCTGGGAGCATGGACTTGGCATGGCTTCGTCTATAGCATCGCGACTTCACTAGACGGTTAATCGGTCGCCAATGGAAGAAGACCTGCAGGGGCACGAGGGGCCGTCCCCGCGACCGTGGAGGGGTGGTCTTAACAATGCGCGCAAGGAGATTGGCGAGGGGAGACCCCGTGGAGCGTGCAGTACGACGGTTGTCCGACCGATGAGGCCATCCCCACGGGACGGCATCCTAGCACCCTGCAGGCCTTGAGGGATCGGCAGCCCCGTGCATGTCCACCGGGGCATGATTGGACGGAGAGCAGCAGACCTGAATCTCTGACCTTGTTAGCGTCGGCGACTAGCCGTATGGCCCGGAGTCGACCTGGTGGCTAGGCCGGTAGTTGAATCTCAATGCGTCGTGAGGTCCTTCTGACGGGGGATGTTGGACCTTTCTATGTATGTAGAGAGGATAGGGCAACCGAGACCCAAATGGGACGAATGGTCCGGAGACACCCGGTGGCCGGTAGCTTCCGGCCCGCCCCGATGCCTCAGGGACCAGGCTGGGCGCAGCCTTGTTGCCTCAGGCTGACCGACTCTCCAGTCAGGTGATGCCGCAGGGGATGTACACAGGTCTAGCCCGTATCTTTCGGGCGATGGTGCGCTATCCACATCTGGTTGGTGGCGAAGGTCGATTCTGCACCGTGCTCATGGAAACATTCACTGGAGCTCTGATTGGCAAGGTTGGGGCAGATGGTTGCTACGGACTTGGTATCCGCGCCTCGGATGAGACCCGGCGACTTGGAGCCGACGGGGCGATCGGCATCGCGGTGAAACTCGAGGAGGGAAATCTGAATATCCTCTCCGCTGCGGTTGTCGAGATTCTTGCTCAGCTTCAGCTCGGCACATCCGAGCAACTGCAGCCCCTGGCCGCGTTCCATCGGCCGCAAATCCGCAACACGGCCGGTGATGTTACGGGAGAAACCTCGCATCAGTTTCGACTATCATCGTTATAGCAGCTGCCGCTTATGAGCTTGTCTGTCACCCTTTCTGGGCGGTCGAGATGAGAAGGTAAGATGGCAGATGCTTCTCAGAGGGGTCGTCTGCGGTCCACGGAAGGACTCGAGGACAAGATTTGGAGGTGCGCTAGACTGTATACCTCAGCTGCATACAATTTATGTATCACGCGCCTTGGCATACTGTTCTTGTCGCTTCCATCACGGACCGGTACCTTATGCCGGTTTTCAGTGCAGAGGGACCTTGCACTCCCGCATATAGTAAACCTTAAGGTTCTAAGCGGAGACCCTTGCGGACCCCTAGCAGTAGATAAGGTTACTTGCATGGAAGATGTCATCAGTGGCAGTCATGGAACCGACATATCTGCATCTGCTGATAAGATGGGGGTGTCACCAGGAGCCTTCTGGAAGCCCTAGAATGGAGCTAGTCTCCAGATTGTCAATGTGGGGACACCAGGGTTGCCTAATCGCATCACCTAAAACTGTCAGGCACTAGCTACTTGGTAGATAGGTAGACAGAACATGTCTTCCAGGTGGATCCTCCCGTGGAGAAGATTTGGAGACACTCGTCTGGACCTTCCCCCTCCCCGGGGGTTCCGGTTGGGGGATGCTTATCGGCTGGGCTGCCGATGTCGGCCGGGTCCGTTATCAATCCGCTCCTCTATCACCCGCGCGCAGGGTCCTTGATCTTAATTCATTAGTCGAGTTGGCCTACCAACTGGTGGATCCACTGACAGAACCCTGATAAGCCCGTGTGGGGTGATAAGCAGCATCTAGCAACCATTATCTGAGACACTCTGGTGGCACAGCCGTTGATACGGACTCACCCGTTCACGGGCAGGTCCACGATGGGTATAAAATGATCAAGTCGCTGCCAGACCGCATCAGCAGCAAGCAACATTGACTTACACTCATACTCGACGCCATGACTATCAAACCGCTTCTTCTCTCGGCCCTGGCCACCCTCGGGTCGGCATCGCCCCTCCTCTATCCCCGGGCCACCAACGAGACCTATGTCTTCACCAATGCCAATGGCCTGAACTTTACGCAGATGAACACCAGTCTGCCCAATGTGACTATCTTTGCTACCGGTAAGCAACCACTCCATTTCTCTATCCCTCTATCCCTCCGGACCGCTCTCTAAAGCGATCAACAGGAGGCACCATCGCCGGCTCCGATTCCAGCTCGACCGCCACCACCGGCTACACCTCCGGTGCCGTCGGGGTCTTAACCCTCATCGACGCCGTCCCCAGCATGCTCGACGTCGCCAATGTGGCTGGCGTGCAGGTGGCCAACGTCGGCAGCGAGGACATCACCTCCGACATTCTCATCTCCATGTCCAAGGAGATCAACCGCGTCGTCTGCGACGACCCCACCATGGCCGGCGCGGTCATCACCCATGGGACGGACACCCTCGAGGAGACCGCGTTCTTCATGGACGCGACCATCAACTGTGGCAAGCCCGTGGTGATCGTGGGTGCCATGCGGCCCTCCACGGCCATCTCCGCGGACGGCCCCTTCAACCTGCTCGAGGCGGTCACCGTGGCTGCCTCTCCAAAGGCCCGGGACCGCGGCGCCATGGTGGTGATGAACGACCGGATTGCCTCGGCCTACTACGTGACCAAGACCAACGCCAACACCATGGATACCTTCAAGGCCATGGAGATGGGCTATCTGGGCGAGATGATCTCCAACACGCCGTTTTTCTTCTATCCGCCGGTCAAGCCCACCGGCAAGGTGGCCTTTGATATCACCAATGTGACGGAGATCCCGCGCGTGGATATTCTGTTCTCCTACGAGGACATGCACAATGATACGCTGTACAACGCCATTGAGAGTGGTGCCGAGGGCATTGTGGTAAGTTAATGCCTACATATAAAGTTCTTTGAGATTCAACACACATGCTGATGACTGCAGATTGCCGGAGCCGGGGCAGGTGGCGTGACCACGTCATTCAACTATGCCATCGAGGATGTCATCAACCGGCTGGACATCCCCGTGGTGCAGAGCATGCGCACGGTCAATGGCGAGGTGCCCCTGTCGGATGTCAGCAGCGATACCGCCACGCACATTGCCAGCGGATACCTGAACCCGCAGAAGTCGCGCATCCTGCTGGGGCTGTTGCTGGCGGAGGGCAAGAACCTTACCGAGATTGCCGATGTGTTTGCCTTGGGCACTGATGCGTAGGGTGGCTGTATGAGTTAGAGCGATGAATGTGTATGTTCATGACTAGAGAATCTAATAATCAATTGACGTCTACAATGGCGATCAACAGCATTGACAGACGGTAGCCGAGCTGAGTAAACGCAGTTCGACATGAGGCTAACTTTCCATCGACCATAACATGCACACGATGTAGTTCTACAGATGGTTTCCAAGCATCACCTTTCGCAGCCATGGTTCTACCGATGGGAAATCCCCCCATCCACCGCCACGTCCTGCACCGTGCCATTCCGCTTGACGGCCTGGTCGCTCCGGAACCGCTGCGTCAGCGCATGACCCTCGTCCGGCACCATGTCGGTGTGGAGGGGCCCACGGCCTCGGCCCAGCCGAGGGTCATGGTGGTCAGGGCGGATTTTGATCCAGAATACAACTTGGCCCATTTGGTGCCGATCGACGCCACCACGGTACCGATATTGATGATTCGCGCTCCCGGGGTGCGCAGATGGGGGAGGGCGGCTTGGAGCAGTAAAAACGGCCCGCGGACATTGGCGAGGTGGCCGTGCAGGGCTTTGTCCGACGAAGGACTGCATGTTGGTGGATTGCTGGAACGGCACAACTGGAACGGACGAGTGCGGACCAACGCCCGATCCATCACCGTTAGCGCTGTCCGCGGCGAGATCGGCGAGATCGGCGAAGGACGGAGGCTTACCCTAACCGTCCGCATCCCCGGGCCTGGGACCGTCGACCATCGACGCCAATCAGCTCCTGCAGGCTGACTCGGGGCCGGACCATCAGCGGCATCTCCCGGGTTGAAGAGGCTGAGGCCCCCTCCCGCATGCGTTCCACAACCCCCCAGCCAAGACGTCCATCCGCTTGCTTTGCCAGGCCCTTCACGCTTTCTGCGAGGCATCTCCATTGTGAAGATCCATCCGAAATGCTGTCCGTTCCACCGGATGGCTTAGAGGACGACCCGGAGGCGTGGGAGGAAGTCTCTGATGCGTCGGGTACCACCCCCCATCCTGCGACACCGACCACGCACTAACGCGTTGCGACCATCCTCAGCCAGATTAAACATTCCGGCCAACTTGGCGCCTCCCTCGCCGTGGCCATGCTCGCTGCCCGCCCAGCCGGTGGCTCGCAGCCTGTCCTACCGTAAGTGTCGAGCCTGCCGCCGGGATCCGTCCCACTGACGCGAGCCATGTCGGACAGGGTTCACGATCATGTCGCCGCGCATGCTGCCCACGTGCGAAGTCCGGAACCCGTATCTGCAGTCATGGTTCCCGCTATCGTTGCAGGATGCCGCCTTGTTCCCCGCCCTCCTTTCGTCGACGTTGACCCATCGGCGCGCCCGCTGCCTCCTGGGGGAGGAGTGGCCGGACGGGTTCGACGACCAGGATCGTTCACTGCTGGCCGCGTGTTACGCGCACACCGTGAGCGCCCTCAATGGGGTCCTGCGGCAACCTCTCCACGGGGTGAGCGATGCCACCCTCCTGGCGGTGCTGATGCTGGTGGAAGGGCCCACGATCCCCGTGGCGCGCGACTGGACCACACCACCGGTCTTTCGGGCGCCGCTGCAAGGCATGCAGTGGCTAAAGGTCCATGGCGCCCGCAAGCCGCACGAGGCCCATCAGCGGGGGCTGTGCCGGCTGGTCCAGCTGAAAGGGGGGCTCTCTCGCATCCAGCTGCCCGGCGTGGCCGCGGCCATCTCCTTGTACGTGCGCGGACTTGATGTCCCCTCCTGACATCTGGTCCCGGACTAACCGTCTCAGTCGCCTGCTGGTCAATGCCACGTTAACCCTGTCGGTGCCCCCCCTGCCGTTTCACCCCTTGTCGGAGGGGAGTGCGCAGACCGTGCCTGAATTCCTGGCCAGCTGTGCGGACGCGGGATCCCACGGGTCCGGCCGGTTTGCAGAAGTAGGGTTACCCGCCGACATGCGACCAATCTTCGAGGCCATGGCCCTGTACACGGCGATGGTGGAACAGTATCTCCGCGGTGAGATCGCCCGGCCCGATACTCAGGCCATGTGCGACCAGCGCAACCTGATCCAGCACGGCCTCCTGTCTCTCCACCCCGCCGAGGGCTCCTCCGACTCCGCCCGCTTCTATGAAGTGTGCCGGGCATCGGCCCTGATTTTCAGCGTCGGGGTGATCTTCCCCTTGCCGGCGGCCACCGCACCCTTTGCGGCGCTGGTCCAGACCCTGCGCACCCATCTGGGCGATGCCCCCCCGCTAGAGGATGGCGGGCCTGCCTTTCCCGCGGCCCCGGCCCTTCGGCTCTGGATCATCGCCATGGGAGGCATCGCCGCCACCGGCACGCCCGAGCGTGAGTGGTTTGTCGGGAGGCTCCAGCACTCCGCCCGTCAGGCGGGGCTGGGGGAGTGGCAGGCCCTCCGCCAATCTCTCCAGACGATCCTCTGGCTGGACAGCGCCTGTGACGCGGCGGGGGAGCAGCTGTGGACGGAGGCGCAAGAGCTTCGGCCGTGGAGGCCCGCCAGGCCCGTCCCTGCGCGGCCCACGTATGGGACGCAGCTGGACGACGTGCAGGGACCCCGACGGAGAGAGCCGCCGTGCACGCCATGTAGAAACCGGGGCGTCCGGTGCAATAAGGGGCTGCCGTGTCAGACCTGTGTCCGCCATGGAATCCGCTGCTCGTATGGCGCCCGGGACGCAGTGGTGGTGCCTGCCCGCGTGCATGTCTTCTCCATGCGCCGGCAGCCCTGCCAGCTGTGTAAGCAGCGCAAGGTACGATGCGAGAGGCAGCGGCCGTGCCAGAGTTGTGTCAAGGCCGGGTTGACATGTATTCCGCTAAGCCGTAGTTAAAGGAGAGAGATGGAATTGCCAGGAATTTAGCATCGGAAGGAATGGCCTTCGCCGAGCTCGCCGAACTCGCCGAATGGGAGCGACTGGTAGATGACTCTGTGAAAGGAGATCACGTGATCTTGGACCTAGCTACCTAGTCACCTCCTCCTCGCGTAGTTAGCTAGGTAACATATATATATAATATTATTAATATTACTATTATAGGTTATAAGTCTTTATAGTAATAAATTATTAAATATTTATTTTCCCTATTATTTTTTCATTATTTTTATGTATTGTTTATTGAATAGTATCTTTTTTAAAATTTTTTATGCCTTAAATCATTATTATATATAGTTTTATAGGTAGAAAAGCCTCTATAATAATCTAATCAGCTTAGTATCTAGGTTTAGTATTTATTAACTAACTAGATCTCTTATTACGCGAGCGGTGTGGTTAAATACTTATAATAATACTATTTAAAAACTTATTTAATATTAATGTCTCCAAAGCTATTTCTAAGTTTAAAAGTTAGGCTAACTAGTTATTATAATAAAGAAACTTATAAAACTATCTATATTTATATAATCTAGACGTATAGAAGCTGTTTTAAAATAAATATATTTTTTAAAAAAAATTAATTCTTTATTCTAAGGATGAAGATAAAAATATATATATACTAGTTATTTATACTAGTAATAATAATACTTTACTTACTTAATAAGAACTAGAATATAATATTAAATAGATTAAATAATATAATTATACTTTACTTACCACATATAACTCTAACTGTAAGAAGTAGAAATAATTAAATTATTTTATATTTATAATTTTTAATATTATATATAAAACTAGTCCTGTAGCGCGTTTCTAAAACTATAACTTTATATTAAAAATATATATTTTTTTCTAGAAAATATATAAGATCTCCAACTTTACTATAGTTATCTATTTATATAATAAATAGATATCTATTCACTATAATAGTATAAGTAATTAAGAGATTTTTCTTATATACTACGTGGACACCCTTAATAAACTTTATAATATTAAAATTATTAATAATTATATTAAATTTTTATAATTTTTTATAATTATTTAAAATATACCTATCTTATAATTATTTATTATAAATTAGTATATAATACTAACAGAAAATATAATCCTATTATTTATATATATTTAATTTATATAATTTAAAGATATATGTAAGAATTAATTCTTTTAGCTAATTATATATTTAGTTAATAATAAATTTTAAAATAATATTAAAAATATTAATAATAATATTTAAAATAATAATTATAGTGGTTACAGCTATAGATATAAGCATAATTATAAACGTGGTGATATCTATAATTATAATAAAAATTAAATAAATATTTTTATATAATATAAAAAAAAGCAACTTGATACTACTAATAAGAATATTATATAATATATTTTTTATAAATATTATAGAAATCACTTTCTAAGTCAGTACTTATTAAACCTAAATAAGAAAATAATTATAAATATTTAGATTAATATAGTTACTACACTTACTCTATTTATATTATTATTAGAAATACTATTAGTTAATATAATTAATATTAATTTTAACTTTTTTAATACTTACGCTGTATTAGTTTACTTTAATATTATTATTATAATTTAAAAAGATTAATATCTGAACCACTCGCACGATTAAATACTTAATTTTAAGACTATTAAAATAATAATTTATTTAAAATATTATTTTATATTCTTTACTCTTTATATATATATAATTAAAACTATTACTAATAAGATCTTCCAGACTATTGGTTATAGTATTATTTTAATTAAATTAATAAATAAGTAAAATAAATTTTATAGATTTTTAAAAATAGATTATATTTAATATATACTAGTATTCTTATATAATCTTATTTTATATAAGTAACTAACATGCTAGGATATTTATATATATATTAAGATTAAAAAAACTACTATTCTTATTTAATATTTTTTATATATAACTGGCACTATAAGTTGTAAGATAATTTAAGATCTATATTTTTATAATATTTTAATATACTTATTACCCTCTAATTTTATTATTAATATTATTAAAAAAACAGCTTTTTTATTAATTTTAATTTATTTTATATACTATTATATGGCTTATATCTCCAAATAAAAGATTTATAACTTTATTAGATATATTATTAATTTTAATATTAAAAAAAATATTTTACTAGTGTCCTGTAAGTTTTACTTTTATAAAAAAAATTAAATATTATTTATTTTCTATACTAAGTCTTATAATCTTAGTTTACGCGTTAAAAATCTTATTTATATAAATATTTATAGACCACTATCTATACGCGGTTAAACTAGTATATATTATTTTATTACTTTTATTAATTATATCTTCTAATACTACTAGATATTCCTACTTAAGGAATATAATAAGATATATAATAAATTTATTACTCTATAGAACTACCTCAAACGATAACTAAATATTAATATTAAATGTGTTTATAATAATAATATATCTAAATATTAATTATTTATATCTTATTATTAAAAATAAAATATTATTTAAGATTTTATTCTATATTACTACTCTAATCTTAATCCTATTACTAAGATTAAAAACCATCATCTAGTTAAATCTTATATATTAGTTATAGTAGATAATTAATTATCTTATTTTCTATAGAATTATCTTATTTTCTATAGAATTATATTATTCTTATAGTTAATTATATATAAAATAGATTTATATATAATATTATTGGGAAGACTCTCTATAAAATTCTATATAAAATATAATTAAATATCTTATAATAGAAAGTTCTTAGTTGCCACTGCTAGTATCTCACTTCTAAAAAAATTTATAATAAATTAGAAAATTATATATAAGAAAGCCGCTTCATTAACTACTTTAAATTAGTTTATAAAATCTATAATATTTAAATTTATTAGATTATATACACCCGTAACATTATTTTTAATAAAAAACCTATTTTATAATTATTATTAATAATATTTATATATGATTTTAATTCTATACGCTACAGTGAAGCTAATATAAAAACTCTAGTTTAAAAAGATTTTTATTATTAATTATTATTTAATATATTTTTTTAATATTAGCAGCCTATTCCTAGTATTTTTTTTAATTATTTTACTATAGATAAGCAGGATAGTAGTAAAAAGCTGGACTAGTTATTAAAATATAAATAAATTAATATATTTTTATTTTTATTTATAATTAATAATATTATTTATAATACTACATCTAAACTAGTAATTATTATTGAAAATAATAAATCTAAAGATTAGTTATTTTTTATAAATTTTTTAATTACTAGTACCTCCTGTACAGAACCTGCTATTTTTAATATAGAATTATTATTAATAGTTAAATAATTACTATATTATTTTATATATATTTATAAGCTTTTATACGCGCTTTTTGAGTCCCTAGAGGCATATATTATTAGTATAAATAATAATCTAGACTTAAATATTAATACTCTTTATAAATTATTTATTAATAACTATTTTATTAGTATTTTATTTTTAGAAATTATAGCTATACAGTATTCTACTAGTCTATAGACTAGAAGAGCTACTTCTACTAAAGAACTAATATCTTAAGATACTAGCTATATCTTTATTTTATATATTAATATTATAATCTATGTTAAAGCATCCAAATAACACAAAATAATATATTATAAGATATAAAAATAGATTAAATATAATATTTTTTATATAATTCTATATTTTTATAATACGTGTCTTCTTCCGCTTAAATAAATATTTAAAATTAAATATAATAATATTTATAAGATTTATCTTATTATCAAAGATTTCCAGCAACATGTTAGTAAAAATTATTAGATTAAAAAAATATATATAGCTATAATTAAAAATATTAATTTTAAGATTTTTATTACTTTAACTACTAAGTTTTATTAAGTTTTATATTATCTTAATATTATTATAGTCTTTCTTAATATTAAATTACGCGAATTAATATATATTAAACTACTAAATAACTTCTAGGAAAATAGTATGTGTGGTAAATTTTTTAAATTATTATATAATTTAAAATAAATACTATATAAATAATATAATATATTTTATAATTTTTTAATAATTAATAATTTTAAATATTTATATACAGATCACTCTGTATTCATAAAAAAGAGTTTTTTTATATTTATTTATATTAATAATATCTTTCTACTTGCGCTGGATAGTACTGTAATTAATATTTTTAAAATATTATTTATTAAATTTATTAAATTTATTAAATTTATTAATAATAGTTCCTGTACCTACTTTCTAGATATTAATATTATATAAATAAATAAAAATATTTATCTTTTATAGAAATTATATATATAAGATTGTCTAAAATATTTTAGTCTTTTTATTTATAAGATTTCTTCTATACTATATAATTCTAAGAATTTTTTATTAAAGTATAATAGAATAGTAGATCCTGATAATATTAAAATATATTAAAAATATAATAATATATTTATTTAAATTATAATTAACACATGTTTTAATATTATATATGTAATAAGTAAATTATTATTTTTTATAAATAATCTTACTAAATTATATCTTTAAGTAATAAATTTTATTTAGTATTATTTTATTAGTTTTTTTAATTACTATTTTTTTTACTATTAGGATAGACCTAGTCTCATTAACTTTTATAATACTAATTAAACTAGTCTCTATTTTCTTAATATAATATTAACTTCTAATTATATATTCTAATTTACTAGGAGGCCTATTTCATGGAGTTTAAAAAAATAAACTACTATTATACTATTTTTAATTAAAAGTAAGTATATCACGTAAGTAATAATAATATAAAAATTAATTTAACTCTAACTATTATTTATTAAACTAGATATTTAGTACTTTAAAACTATATTTATTTTAATAACTTATCTTATAGTTATTTATACAGATAACTAGTCTATTATTATTTTAATTAAAAATCCTAAGTTCCACGCTTAGATAAAATATATCTCTATTAAATAGCATTTCATATATTATAAAGTACGTGTAAAAAATATTAAATTTATTTATATTAATATAATTAAATAAATAACTAATAATTTTATTAAATTATTTAAATATTTCACTTACTCCCATTTTATTAAGTAACTTAGTATAGTAAATTATATTTAAAATTATATTTAATATTTTTATATCTACATATCTTTTACTTTCTATTTAAAAAATATAAATAATCTTATATTTTTCTTTTTTTATATGTAACGTTACTGACTACGTCCTTACTTATAGAAAATGTAAAAAAAGATCATATAATCTTAGACCTAGCTATCTAGTCACCTCCTCCTCGTGTAGTTAGCTAGGCAACACACACACACAATATCATCAATATTGCTGTCACAGACTCCCGTATATAAAGCGTCAGACTGCCCAGAACTCCCTCGTCAGCCATATCAGGAGTAGAACCTCGCCAACATGTACCGCGCCCTCTGGCTTGCCCTCCCCTTCGCGCTGGGTGCCGTGGCCCGGCCGCGGGGATCTCCCCCGGGTGTGACGAGGTCGCCATCCCCGTCCCCGTCGTCGCGCCGCGCTTTATCGTGAACGCGACGGTGGAAACCAACTGGGATGCGGTCGCCCTGACGCTGAATCTGACCCGACGCGACTCGGGTACGGCCACGGACCCGTGGCCCATCGCCGGCACCACCACCACCACGGCCGTGGCGAGCAACTTTACCATCGGAGCGACGCTTTGCCAGGGACCCCCAGGGGCGCCGGTGCTGGTGTTGACCCACGGCATCATCGAATCCAAGCTGTTGGTTCATCCCCCTCGGCACCGGGACCTGACGCGCCTGCTGACATCGCATGGGGCATAGGTATTGGCGTCCCAATCTGACCAACGCATCCGAGTACAGCTTCGTGGATGCAGCCCTGGCAGCAGGCTATTCCGTCCTCAGTTATGATCGGATCGGCGTCGGGACCTCGTCCAAGTATGTGCCCGAGGGTATTCCCCCTCATCTCGACCTCTCACTGACCACTAGGGATCCCCAGGGTCAACGCGCTGTCCGATGCCCAATTCCAGGTGGAGACGGCGGTGCTCAACGCGCTCACGGCCTACGCCCAGCACGCCACGAACGCCTCCCGCGTGGCCCTGGTGGGACACAGCTATGGCGCCTATCTGACGGCGGCCTCCGCCAGCCAGATCGCGGTGGATGCGGTCGTGCTGACGGGGTTCAGCGGCACCTTTGATTACTTTGGGCCCTTCCTGGCGGGGGCCGGCCTGCGCATTGCGCGGGATCAGAACCCCGCCCGCTGGGGGACATTGGACGCGGGCTATCTGACGTCGTCCGACCTGTTCGCCGAGACGTATGTCTATTTCGCGGACCCGTACTTTGAGCACCGGGTGGCCGAGTGGGCGTTTGCCACCGAAAGCGAGCCGTTTGCGGTGGGCGAATTGCCGTCGTTGTTGGCGACCACGATTGAGTATGGCCAGATCACTGCCCCCGTCTTGCTCCTGCAGGGCCAGTTCGACGTGTCCGCCTGCGGGGGGAACTGTGTAGGCCTGCTGAACAGCACCCAGGCGTTGTTTGCGCGCGCGAGCACGGTCGAGACCGTGGACAATCTTCCCGCTGGGTAAGCATGATTGGATGCCTTGTGGGCTGGGTAAGCTGACGTGCCTGACAGACACAATCTGAACCTCCATAGGGTTGCCCCCCAGGCCTTTGACCGGATCTTCCGCTTCCTGCGGGCTCAGGGCGTCTGACATGCAGGCTACCTCGTGCCGGGGGCCCAAGTGGGTGAGAGAGGGAGGGGAGGAGATACAAGGAAGAAGGTGGCGGGCAGTGATGACATCTTAGAGATAGATTCCATCACATACTTTCTGTTCTAGACTTTAGAGTCTTTTCTGGTACGGGAGGCCTAGACAACTGAACCCTTATCACCGACGCTGGTGCATCACCTGCATTGGATCGCCAAGAGCTTGTCCAAGCCCGTCTTCCCCGTGGTAGCGTCGATCATTCGTCCTCCGGAGTCCGGAGTATCTCCAAGCCTCCCCCAAGGTCATCCATCCCACTGCTTGGTCAATGGCAAGGCTAGGATCGTTAAGTTCAGGGAGCCGAATTAAGGCCCCCCGGGCCGCCAGCAGGGACCGAGTCAGCTGAGGAAGGAGGCTGATTCGCTGCCGACTGCCCACCCATAAGGCTGGGCATTGAGGGCATTGCCAGGAGGCCTCCAACCTGATGTCATGTTCATGTGGTGGAAAGGGTAGTCCGGTCCTTCAAGTAGTGGAACTGCCGTCTTTCGCAGTATCCCTTGGACTATAGACGTCCGACACCTCTACACCATGGAGCTCGAGCCCAACAAGACCGGGTTTCAGACCCTGGCCGAACCACATCCGACCCAGCTGGTTCCAGGCGGCGTATGTTCCCCGGCTGCAGGTCATCTGCTGTCTCTTCTAAATTCGCTGACAGATCCTCTCTGTTGCAGCGCGTGGGCAAGGCCGTGACGGTCGATGACCTGCGCCGCGCCGTGCCCGACTACTGCTTCACCCCGTCGCTGTTCTGGTCCTTCTTCTATCTCGTCCGGGACCTCGCCTACTCCGGCATCCTCCTGATGGGGCTGTACCGAATGCTAAACACCATCGTGGTGCAGGAATCCCCGGTGCTCTACTACCTGACGGTGATCGGGTCCGGGTTCGATCAGGGCTTTGTCTGGACGGGGCTGTGGGTGATTGCCCACGCGTGTGGCCACAGCAGCTTCTCCCGCTCGGCGGTGCTGAACGACAGCATTGGCTTTGTGCCGCATTCCTGCCTGCTGGCCCCCTAATTCTCCTGCAAGTCGACCCATCGCCGTCACCACATCTATGCCAACCACATCGACAAGGACCTCAACTCTGTGCCGCCCCAGCGCCAGTCGTACGCTGAGAAGATCGGGCAGGCCGCCGAGGTGCTTGAGGAGATCGGACAGGATGCACCGTGGGTGCTATTCCTCCGCATCGTGCTGCAACCAACCATCGGGTGGAACTGGTATATCCTGACCAACATTACATGTCCCCCCACAGCGGTGGTGAAGCCGGGGATGTCGATGTGGCGCCACGGTCATTTCGACCCCCCGGGGGGCCTTGTTCTACCCATCCGAGTGGCTGTCTATCGTTCTCTCAGACTTGGGCTGTTTGGCCACCATCGCGGGGCTCTATCATCTCTACACCTGGTTTGGCTCGTTTGAGACGCTGTTCTGGGTGTATATCATGCCCTGGACGTGGGTGAACCACTGGATCGGTGTGTATCTCCTGTCCGTCGGGTGAATCTGCTTATAATAACCCGGCATAACAGTGATGATCACGTATCTCCATCATACGCACCCCGCCGTGCCCCAGTACACGTCCGAGTCGTGGACCTTCCTCCGAGGGGCGACCGCGACCATCGACCACCACTTTGGCCTCATTGGCACCCACTTCTTCCACCGCATCTCGTCCGACCATGTCACCCACCACCTGTTCTCGCGGATCTCGCACTACTACGCCCGAACAGCGAGCCAGGTCATCATTCCTTTGCTGGGGAGGCACTATCACGGACGCGGGGACTTTAACTACCAGGCTCTGGAGACGGCATTCGCGCGATGCCAGTGGGTGGAGGAAGATGGCGACAAGGACGTGGCTTTTGGCTTGCGGAGGGGCGATGCGGTGAGCGAGACGGATGAGAAGCACCGAGGGCTGTGGTACCGCAGTGGCCGTAGCCCTATGCCCGAGTGCAAGATGCTAGGGTCAGGGTTGCGGTCGGGGCTCGATCGCACGAAGAAGGAGCGTGGTGGGAGTCAGCAGTTGTAGTGGGATGAAGAGGAATGAAAGACTGGAAGAATCCATCGTAGTTGCTGCATTCCCTGCCCTCTGCCTCTTTCCCGGGTCTCCCATCCTCACTGTTTTCCTAGCGTCCCACCCTGTCATCATCTCAGATCTCCAGCCTCTCACGAAGTATCTCAATCAGCCTTCTAGCAACCCATCTTCCAGTCCGACCAACGATTTTTTTTACTTGAGAATGGGGTACGTCCATCCCATGCCCATTCACCGATGCTGGGCTCATCCGCTCAGGTACACGCACTACTTCCACGTCCGGGACGAGAACAGCCCCGAGTGGAAGACAGCATGGCCGAAGCTCATCCATGATACCAAACACATGATTGCTAATGCATCTGTTCCCCTGAGCGGCCCGACCGACAATGAGACTGTGGCCACCCCGCCCCTCGTGGACAAAAAGCGGGGGATCTACCTGAATGGGGTCGGGGATAATGCACATGAGCCCCTCGGTGTCCGTGGGAGGAGCCAGGAGAGGCTACGCTGCAGCCCAAAAGCCCCCGTGGCTGGGGAGGCTTCTGTGGAACAAATCACATCACTTGATGGGATTGGGGGGGTTAGGATGGTCGACTGCGAGGTACTAGCTGGTTTTAATCATGTTGTCATGAAGCGATGCCCACTTGGTGGACCCTCGAGAGAATTTTGGTATTGGGTCATGCCCTACATGCATCGAATATAACTACTTGGTGAACTTTGTCTGCGTCCACCCCAAGCCATCCGGCCCGCACCCTCAGTCGGCCAGCCAAATGTCCTCATCCGAGGAGCCTCCCGCAATCCACGACTTCCGGAAGTACTTCTGCAAGACCTTTTGGGCGTACGTCTGGTCATTGACGCAGTAATCCCCGCCCGTCGGCCCAATATGCGGACAATGCAACGCGGGATCGTACTGGACCATGTGCTCATGCACTTCACGACACAACAGCGTATTCCGTCCCAGCTCATAATCCTTGCCCAGCGGAATGTCCTGGGTCAGAAAGTCATAGCAGGTCGAGGCATTGGTATACTGTTGATTGTCCCCCGTGCAATACTGATCGTGGGTCGCGCAGATGGTGGTGGCCAGCAGCTGGGTCAGCGCGGCCGTGGCCTGGCTGGTGGTGCCGTTGATGGAGGTGGCCAGCGCTTCCACCAGGGTGTCAAGGAGAAAGCCGAACCAGCGAAACGTGGCATCGTATTGTTCAATGCGTCCCTCGGCATCCCACATAATCCACGTGTCGATGGTGACGGGCAGCAGGAGATTGCCAAACGAGGTGGCATTGAAGGTCACGACGGTGGTGGCCGAGGCAATGTTCCCGTTGGCGCTGAATTGGGTGATGCTGTAGGCCACGGGCACCCCGACCAGGCTGAGATGGTCGGGATCCGAGAAGAGGCCGAAGAGATATTCGGTGTTCAGCTCGCTTCCGTTGAAGACGCGGGTGATGTCGACGCGACCTTGCACCTGGAGGGGCTGTCAGTATCCGGGCGAGGCGGGCCAGGGTGGGATCAGAACACCACCACCACGTACATCAGGAGTAAATAAGGTCGAATTGATGGCCAGCATCTGCTGCACATTGGCGGGGTACAAGAAGTTATCCCAGAAGGTGGTTTCGAGCTTCCAGAGCTCCTGGTACGTGTAGTTGACGGTGGTCGCATGGTTGAACCCCCAGACGGTGGGGGCCCACGCCAGCCCTGCGGCGATGACTGCCCAGGAAAGATACATCTCGGTTCAAGATCGGAGATGTCGATGAGGATCGTGGGGAAGGGGTGTCACGGCATGATAAGGCCTTTGGGCTGCACCGTTCGGGGTCACCGAGCCAAGGCTGCGCAGCCCGGAATGCAGGCCGGAATGCAGGGCGCCCCCATGACTCCGCCAGTCGGTTGGGCCACGACCATCTGTTCATCCTCTTGGCGCTCACACGACCCCCGTGGCGATGCAGCGGATCTCATCATCCAAACCATGGGACCTGGCCGCTCGGTCCTGCCCATCCACCCGGATCCATGCCCCGTGAGTATAGTGGTTGGAATGCACCCGCCGCTGGCTCGTATCCGTATATCTATTTTTACCGCACGTCTCTTGGCAAACCATCTCACTTGGATTATGAGTGATGCAGCTGGAATGGTGGCCCGGATTGAAACCACCTTGGTTCATATTATTTGTGGAGAAGCTGGAAGCTCAGGGTGGGTAAGAGGGCTGGACGGTCACGGTCGAAGGGACCCGCCGCTGAGATATATTTCTGCCCTAAGAGCTATCAACCATGTTCCAATAACACACCATTGTGACATACGACTACCTGTACACTGACGTTCGCTGAGAAAGGCGTTATCGTTCCCGGATAATAGATTTAGATGATCAGATGAGTGTTGCAGCTAGAAATCAATGACCAGCTTCACACCACCCCCTGCCTGCAGCATCCATGCACCGATTCCCTCCACCTTCCCTTGCCCAGGAGAATGAGATATCATCTCTCGAGATGGGCCCACACACTACTCAGCACTGGTCAGAATGAGCTTGGCATCGTAGTAGATGATCTCGCCATCACGCTTCTCGACGCTAGTCAAGAGCAGCTTGGCGTCCCGGTAGAGAGTCCCATCCTCGTCCCGCTTCTCCCGCGTGGTGAGGATCTCAAAAGGGTCGCGGTAGATGATCTCCTCTCCGCGCTTCTCGGCCGTGTTCAGCTCGTGCACAGTGTCCGCGTAGACCATGTCATCGCCCCGCTTCTCCACCGTCTCGTAGACCCGGATTGGATAGAGCTGCTCGTCCCGCTTCTCCCGAGTGGTGAGAATCTCGAAGGGATCGCGGTAAATGATCTCCTCCGCGCGCTTCTCGGCGGTGTTCAGCTCGTGCACAGCGTCCGCGTGGACCATGTCATCGCCCCGCTTCTCAACCGTCTTATAGACCCGGATGGGATAGAGCTGCTCGTCCCGCTTCTCCACTGAGTCGAGGTACAGGTCAACATCCCGGTAGATACCCAGATCCTCGCCCCGCTTGGCAACACTGGCGTCTAAAGAGAGCAATTAAGGTCTGGTATGACTTGGGACTACATGGTTTGGGAAGACGCACCTTGGATGGGCGCACTGACGGCCAAGGTGGCTAGCAGGCCCAAGGCGATAGCAGAGCAGTGCATATTGACTATATAGATAGAATCGATCTCACTTCGAAGATACTCAAGAAGAATGATGTGGTCCGACTCGTACACCCCGGCTGCTTGGGAGAGGGTATATATATACAGTGGTCAGAGCCCACGCAAGGAGGGGAAGGGCATGTGTATCCCACTATTCCTGTCGTCACCACGTCGTATAGTCATCCTCTGTTGTTGAAGGAATACCATCGGCCGCCAAGACACGGTCAAAGGCTTATCTCCTGCAGGATCTCCGGCGCTATGACAGCCACCTCGGGGTGCGCCCCGCAGCTTATCTTGTTGGCGGTCCAGGCTCCGGCACTGGCTTGTAGCATGGGACTGGCTTTTCGATTTCTAGACCACATCTCTCCTACTTGAATGGGTCTAGACGATGCTACGGAGCGGGCGAGCCCGCTGCTTCGCGAGTCAATAGTGGTAAATTCCGGTTCTGCTGCTCCGCCGGGAATCCTTCCCATGCATCGGACTCCGACGGAGACGTGGAAATGCCGCCCGGGAGTGATGCACTTGCAGAATCTCACTCATCCTCACGATATGCTGACCTCAGATTGTGGGCAATCTCGAAACTGGATTCATGGGAGGTAGACCGTCTGCAAGTACATCGCTGGTCTCACCATCCAGCGAAGACCAACCTGGCTGAAAGCTGGCACGTCCGGTGTCCAGTCTATGTGTTATGTCCTTCTGGTGGGAGATGTTGCTTTCAGCTATAGGGGTGAGCAGGGAAACCCATCTTGCTCTAATCAGTTGTAATCTGACGCGTGTATGTCAGATTATAGCTGTCCTTGCTTGGTCCACCGCCACCCGGACGAAGCATTCCTTCAGAGGGGAAAAGGTCAACTCCGGAGGTTGATTGGAACTCTTCACTCCGAGATGATAACACTCAGCCCGCCTCCTTGATCCTCCTGGCGCCCGCAATCATAAAACCCGGCGGTGATTGGCAGTAGAGGGGCACTCAGCCGGTTTCTGACTAGAGAAGCTGCCCAGTGGGAGTGCTGATAAGAGGGGCATTGCCGCCGCTAACCTTTCTCACTGTGCAATTGCATACGCTGAACCCCCTCACGATGGCCGACTACACCGATGAGCTCTCCAGAGTCTCTGACAGTCTGGAGGAGGAGGAGAAGACCTCGTTTCTCCCTCATCCATCTCGTCCCATCGTGCCAAAGGCAAACCCGAGACCGTTCTGGCTATGGCCGGTAATCGGTGTGAACCTGCTGGTGCTGGTTTGCTCCGTGATAACATTGTTTGTGACGGTCACTCTGCGCTCCCGGCCAGCCCTAGACTCGGAACGAAACGCCTTGCTAAAACAGACATCCGCCTACTGTGAGTGAAGCTCTCCCCTTCCGGTAGCATGAACCTGCTGACATTCCTGGACTCGGCAGCACCCCTACTGGATGAATTTGACATCCCTCTTAAACACGTGCACAGCAAGACCAATTTCTTTGACAATTCGTCCATCTTCAGCCAGCTCCCGAGCCCCGAGGTGGACGCCGCGTGGGAGGAGATCACCCCTCTGCGGCGCGTCTACCTGACCACCGAGCAGGTCATCAAGCTGGGCAAAGACCCTTCGCTGACGGTGCGCGCGAAGGACCATCCGGACCTTCACATTGGGATTCTGAACGGCATGCACGAGCTGCACTGCTTGAACCTGATTCGACAAAACCTTCATCGCGACTACTACTGGCCGGATGGCATCCGGCATCCGGCGCACTGGCTGCATCTCTATCACTGCGTGAACGTGGTCCTGAACGCATTGACCTGCGCCGGGAACATGGACGTGGTGACCTTCAATTGGATGGAGACCCAAGAGTTCCCTTTTTTCGATTTCGGGATCAACCGCGTGTGTCGGGATTGGGATCGCATTCTGGAATGGCAGACGAATAACCTCGAGACGGCGACGGCGGATTCCTTCCGACTGGGCGGGGAGAAGGAGATCCCCGCCCCGGATCTGTTGAAGGCCATGAATGCGCAGAACCCGGACGAGCGTGTGTTTACCCATGATGATCCGGCGTTGACGGGGAGCATAGGGCTGTAGGGTGGAACAATGGGTCCCCTATATGACAGCCATGGTGCAAAATATATATTTCCAACCCCGCGAGACATCTCTCGATTTGCATGGAAAGGAGCTATTGCTAGGGAATACCACTCCTCGATTCATTAACTCTTTTCGGCCGTATCCTACGAGCGACCTCCGAGTAAACAGGAGACATTGAATAGGATTAGGTCCAAAGATAACACCCCAACTCCAACGACAAAAAGCCACAACCACAACCAGCGGCCTTGCCGCCTACGGGTAGGGGTCCTCAACCAAGTAGACCGTCTGTTCATAACACCCTGTCACGCGTACAGTGAAGATTCCGGAACCAGCGAATCGATCAGGGTCAGTCAGTAGCCTAAGACTCCCGGGGTGCGCGGGGTCATGATCACATTTAACTTCACCCCGCCCCAGTGGTAGGACGACAAGCTATCCCGTCGAAGGTCAAAGTCTTGATTCACCAGCTCCATCGAGTAGAGGTACACCATCTTGGCCACCAACACGCGAAGGATCTGGTATGCCATCTGGCGTCCGGGACACTGCCGAGCACCGATGAGGAAGGGCCGCGAGGCCTTGAAGTCATCCTTGCGATTCGGGTTCAGCCACCGCTCCGGACGAAATTCATCGGGGCTCTCCCAGTATGGCTTGGCATGTCCAAGGGTGTAGTGATCCACTGCAACCCCCACCTATATACAAATTCTTGTGTCAGTGTCATGTGCCTCAATGTCCAGGTGGAAAGACGGAGGTCACGTACCCCCGGTGGAATATAAACGCCCTCGACCGTCGCGCCGCACGAGACCCGTTGCAGAATGCCGCCATTGAACGCCGGGGCCATGCGAAAGCTCTCATTGATACAGGCGTTGATATAGGGCAACTTGGCTAGGCGGCCATCCGTCAGCTCGTCGACGGAGCCACCGGCGGCCAAGAGCTCCGCTTCGAGGTTGACCATGCAGGGACGGTGGTGCAACAGGAAGTAGACGAGGTTGTTCAAGGCCGTCTCGGTGGCCCCGTAGACGCTGAACCTGCACCGGCCATTAGCTCCGCGCAACGGGCTCGGGGGCATTGCAGACTCACCCGGTAATGATGGTATTGATCAGCAGCAATGCCTCGGGGATGTCGGTCAGCCCGGCCTTGGTGGCCGCCCGTTGCAGCCGCGCGAGCTGGTGGTCGTCGAAGCTGGGCTCCTCGGCCGGTTGATCCTTCCAGGACGGATCCGTGGGTTGTCGGCAGATGGCACAGATCGTCTGCCACGCCTTGAAAAAGGCGGGCATGTGATCCTGAATCAGGGCCCGGGGCAGGAAGGTGCAGCAAACCTCCAAGAAACACATATAGCGGTCGAGCCATCGGAGGTTCAGGTGGAAGTGCACTATTGGGCTGGTTAGCATCGAGTCGGCTTCATCCGGCAGGCTGGAGGAATGGAGCAGATGCGCACCACGGGCTAACTCGGTACTGCGGGTGCCAAAGGCCACCATGCTCCCCAGTTGCCACAGACAGCGATCGTTCACGGTGGACAGTGGGATGGGCGTGGACCCCGTCTGGCCCACGGCATGAGCTTGCAGGGTCTCGGCCAGCGCCACATTGCAGTATCGCTCGGTACAGGCCGCCGTCAGTTCGGCCAGCGTCGTGGTAATCAGGGGCCGGAGCAATCGTCGATGCTCTTTGCGCGTCACATTTGCCAGCGACTCCTCCATCCCGCCGATGGACCCCAGCAGGCCCTTCCGGCTGCCATGAAGGGCAAAGTGCTTGTCGCCGTCGAACCCATAGATGCTGTCAAACGCGGTGACCGTAGCAAAGGACAGGTCGGAGGGCCCAATGCGCACCACCGGCCCTGCCAGCACATGGGAATGAGACATCATCATCATCATCATCATCATCATCATCATCAATGTCTAGGGACTCACTCACCGTATGTGTCGTGCAGGTCTTGGAAGGTGTAGACCAGCTTGTTGGTAAGGATCATCCGAAGGTTGCACACCTGGTTCCGGCCTTTAGCAGCAGACAGCAGGCTACCCGGCCATCAACTTACCGGGATGAATCTGGCGAGCCATGGCCCGGGGATTTGAGACAAGGGATCCAGCCAGAGTCGGTAAATCACCCACCCCACGATGGCGACGGCCACCTATGACCCGATGCTAGTAAGCGAGCGAAATCGGGATTTAGGTATTAATTGGAAAGAATGGACGTACCAGGTAGAGTGCCAACATGTTGAGTGGATGCCCTCTGACAAGTGCGTCGGATACCAGGCAAGGGCAGCACGAGTGCTGTGCGTACCCCCGTGCTCGCGACAACCTCCATGGTGCTTTCTTATAGAGGAGTCTACTGTCAAGCACGATGACGCCCGATCTGTCTCACAGCCCCGCGGTCTCTGGTCGAACGGTCCTGGAGATGGGGGACGCCTCGTATGACCAGGTTAATGCCCGACCTGGAAGCCTGCTAGCCCGCAAGCACCTCAGCAGCAGCTTGTCATTACCGGCCAACGGGGTATTGGGATCGCAACTGCCGTAATGGCCAGGTTCTTCCCCCTTGCGTCGGGGCTGCAGATGGGGGAGTGTCTCGAAGCAGGGCAACCATCCCGGAACCGGTAGGGATGGGCAAAGAGGCCCTGGCATTGGGGACGAGGAAAAGAGGAGCCGAGACCCTGATGGTGCCATGTTTTTCTTCACGGCTAGCCAAGGGGATTTGCATTGGAGGACCTGTCCTACGGTCGTAGCCAAATACGGGTCCCCGGTTCCCAGCCAAGCATGAGAGAGAACCGATGGAGCTGCTGACTGCAGGCGCATCGCGTGGCGCTCCATCCCCCCACCGGGCTGACAAGGGCTCCCTGGCACCTGCAACCGGGCCTGCATGTCATGCAATCCCGGCCAATAGCCCAGGTGGGATGGACCGAGTACTCTGAACGGACGATGGGATCATCCCCGCACGGCCGACAGAGTTATGGCCTCCCCAAGCCAAGGGTCAATGAAGCTGTTCAGGGGGCAGAGCATTCACCGGGCCCAGGTCACCGAAGGCCTGCAGAATACAAGGCTGGGAGGCCAGGAACTAGTCAGATGGGCGTAGTATTTCAACCCATTCTACCAGTTCCAGTCCACATGCCCTAATTACCGGCACTCTCGCTGACCGACGTCAATCGACCTCCCCATATAGAGCGTCGCACGGGTCTGGATTACACCTCACAGGCCATGGATTACGAGCCATACCCGGGAAAATGTCCATTAACACACCGATCGCTCGAGGAGGTTCGTGCTGGTGGTGATAAGTCACACCACTCCATTCCGGCCATTCGGCTCACCCAGAGCCACCGGATTCCATTGAGGTTTTCGGGTCAATCACCCCTCCCTCCAAGCGACGCGTATTTGTTTACGCGATCGATGCTGTTTCCCCATTTACTATATAACCCAGTGCCTCTACCAGCTCGTCGATCCCTGGAAGTACTGATAGCTCATCCATCGGGTAGCCCTGGCCGTTGGTTTGTATGGCCTCTACGCCACAGGCACTGATCCCGGACGTGGTCGCACCCAGGAGAATAAACGAGTCGACGACGCCAGTGGCTGTTACCCGGTCCTGGGAAATCCACATCCAAGGGGTAGGGTGGTGGCTCCTCGAGGCATCATAACCCCCACGAGCGTGAAGCTAGTCCCGACGAAGCCGAACAAGGATGATTCGGCTCCAGCACCATATCTCCGGGTGTGCCAGGAGGAAGCAGCAGAATCGACGCCTGCAACCCGTCACGGCTGCCTGCGACTGTGAGCCGCGACTGCTCTGGCCTTCTTGAGCTTCCCTGCGCCAAGACCAGCTCCGGAGCTGGCTATACAGGTCCAGCACCGGGCCGGGGAGCGGCACCACCCCGTTAGTTCAGCGGTGCAACTTCGGTCCGGGCCCCTGGAATGCCTGGGACATTGAGAGTGACTGCTCTGTACGACGCAGCTGCGCGGCTAATAGGATGCCCGCCGACCGGCCTGGGCCCCTCGAAATACGAGTTGCGTCTTGCATGGGAGGAGGTGGACGCAAGGGGGCCCTGCCCGAGTCTTATCAACGCGGCCAGCTCAGATGAGGGTCAGACAGCTCATCTTACACTCGGCGAGTTCTGGATACATCCCGGCAGTCAGGACAGTTTCGAATTCTGCGACACCCGGCTGACTACCCTCGTGCGAGTGCAATGGGGTTTGTATGACCTCGTCGGGCTTCAGCGCGCTCCAGGCGCGCAATGCCTCAACCGGCGTTATAACATCACTGCCAGCCTCACCCTGGTGGGATACCAACCAGGAGTTTTCCATGATGACGGGGACCACGGTGGGTCTATCCGCCCAACTCGAGCGATATGCGAGTCAGGCATCATCCAGCGCTTGCGCCATCGCGACACACCTCCGATCCCTTGAGCGGGAACCGGAGATCATGGGTGGCAATGCAATGGCAGCGCCAGGGATAGCCACGGCGCAGCTGAAGCTGGCCGAAGCCGCGTTTGAGCTGCTCAATCTCAGCCGAGATCCCGGCGATATCCTGACCCATCTGACTGCCGATGTGGGTAAATTGACCCCAGCCCGGGACTGCAGGAGACTGATGAACCCACCCCCCCCTTCCAGCTGCAACTCATCTGCGCCGTGCGATGGCTGTGCCACTTCAACATTCCATCCCTGATCCCGGAGGATGGCAGCCCCATCACGTACCCGGCACTGGCCAGGGCCGCCCAGGTGCCCGAACCGCTCCTCCGCAGCACCCTCCGCCTAGCCATGACCAGTCGCCTGTTCCAGGAGCCAGGGCCGAGTCCAGATCTGGTCGCGCACAGCCCTGTCTCCCGATGGTTGGCCAGCCACCCCGGGCTCGCCCATTGGGGGCGGTACTTTGCCCACACGGTCATCCCCACGGCGGTCCGCCATGTGGATGCCACCGACACCTGGCCCGGCAGCCAGAAGCTCCATGAAACCGCGCACAACCTGGCCTTTAACCACGAGGGGTCCTTCTTTGAGTACATCTCCCACGATGGGGCGCTGACGGTCGAGTTCTCGAGCTCGATGAACGCGCTGTCGGGGACCAGCGCCTTCAGCCATGCTCACACGGCCAGGAGCTATGACTGGGCCTCGCTGGGCCACGGGTTGGTGGTCGACGTGAGTGAGCCCTAACCCTTATTCCCTCGCGAGGCGGCCATGAGATTAACCGACGGCCAGATGGGCGGCTCGACGGGCCATGTCAGCGTCGCGCTGGCCGAAGTGTTCCCCCATCTCCAGTTCCTCGTGCAGGACCTCCCCGAGGTCATTGCGGACAGTGTCCCGCGGTTCTCGGAGCGGACGCTGCCTCTGGCCATCCACTCGCGGATCCGGTTCGAAGGCCACTCGTTCTTCACCCCGCAGCGGGTTCAGGGGGCATCCGTGTACTTGCTGCGGCACATCCTCCACGACTGGCCGGACCGTGAGGCCGTTCTCATTCTCCGGAATATTGTCCCCGCCTTAGGCCCAGAGAGCCGGATCCTCATCTCCGATATTGTCCTGCCCCCGCCGGGGTCGATTCCCAGCACGGAGGAGCGGGTGATGCGTTGCAACGACCTGCTTCTCCACCAGTTCACCAACACCCTGGAGAGAACGCTGGAGGATTGGGAGGCTCTCGTCACACAGGCCAGTGATCGGTTGCGGATTCGGCGGGTCTCGAGAGATCCCGGAAGTATCCTGTCCCTGGTGGAGCTAACGATGACATGAGAAGGAGGAGTGTGCCAAATCCCAGAATCCGAGTTGTGTGTCACTATTCGCGTGCGCTATAAAAGAAAAAGAAAAGACACCAGGAGCCGGGGGACCGGCACCGGGTCGTCATAGCCATTGTAGCTATCGTAGCCATTGGAGCCACCCCAGTTAGCATCCGGCCCTCGTCGGCACTACACCTGGTATGGGGTACCGAGTGCTTCGGATACGAGCAATGATACCAGGGTACCGCCACTGTAAGCTGACTAGGGGCCCCTGCAGCCAGCTGGCGTGCGTGTAATGCCTCGGATTTAAATCCCTCATCTCCTTTCTTGCCTGGGCTATGGATATCTCTCATGGGACACCGTTGTCGTTCGTTACACCAGATGCACGCTGACTATCCGTGGTGGTTGACGACCCTTCCTGCCAGCATCCATCATCGCTAGGGCTCCCGATGTCAGGCCATTTTTGCGTACCACTTCATGGGATGGGCCCGTCTGCGTTACTACAGAACGGCGACGCTACCGGGTTTGGATTCTGGACCGGTCCATCTGCACACACCGGGCAGTCAATCTGGCTCAAACTCTCGATCCGCATATTCATCGCGTCGAATAAAGCATAATGTGCATACCATTGGCCATCGCGGACCGTTATCAGCTGCGTCTCTCAACCGATCGGCGAACCCTGCTGTTGGTATGTGCATGCACCCTGCATGCTTATCTGGGTGCCCAATGGCCAGGGGCTACGGGGCGTGCTGGGTGGACATTCCGGTGCTCTGACTGCTGTGGCTCAGCCTGCAAGGGAGATATGACACTGGCCGTGTCATAGATTGATGCCCCTTTCCTCCCCCCGCTATCATGAGAAGAGCGACACCAGTAACCATAGTTGTCATGTGTGCCGCCGGTGAACGGGTCGAGAGTAAGGGCACTAACTATTGCTTGGTCGGTAGACCGATGCCCGTAGTTGGGACGGCCGTGCGCCATATAAATCGGATGCTATTCCCGCCGGGATCGAGAGACCCCTGACGGTGGAATCTTCCAAGTTTCTCTGCCAGCATGTCTGCCCCACAGAATATCCCCATCCCGGACGCCGGGAAACGCGTCTTGAGCACCGTGACCCTGGTGGGTGGAGTCCCCTACAACACCCCGTTTGGCCATCTCGTTTGTGAAGAGCAACGAGCCTGCTGACCCTGGACTGCCCTTAGGCCCCCGCCCTCGGGTTCGTGCCGATTGCGGTCCATTTTGACCTCTTCGGCTGTCTCCACGACGTCGGGAAGCCCGCCACCGCGCAGGACGTATGCAACGTGCATCGGAGGAAATACGGAGAATCGGATCTGTGTACGTTTCCAGAGTGTTAGCCCTGCCAGACTACGCGGTGGGGGATGAACATGGCTGATGGTGGTACCGGTTTGATCCAGCTGTGCCCTTGGCGAGTATGCTATTCCCTGTGGGACTCTGCATCATTTCTGGGGAGTAACTGACCGGTCTCCAGATGATGCCCTGTTCCTAATGGGAGGCCTCGGTTTCCTCGACCTCCTGCCCGACGATGTCTATCTCGCCAATGAAGTGACCAAGTTTCTGGTCGAGACACCGTCAGCACAACACGGCGCCATGCATTTGTATATTCCTCATGTGCTGCCCACTTCCCATCTGGAGGCTAATCTCTGTTTTCTACAGCACCTCCGAAGGCCTACTGGGGGCCGCCTTTCTCATGCGCCACCTGCAAGACACCAAATTCCAGTACCCCTTCCAGGAATGCGACACGCCCTTTCAATATGCCTACAAATGCATGGGCAACGATTTCCTGGCGCAAGAACATGTGTACTCGGTCATGCACCACACCGGCCGGCTGGACAGCTTCAACACCTTCATGACAGGCAAGTTCGGCCGCTGGGGTACGATGCCCGACCGGGTCCGCAAACTCGGCTATGACCTGGATGGCCTGCTGCAGTCCGTGACCCCCGACCATCTCCGGATTGTGGACATTGGAGGGGGCCGAGGAGAGCTTCTCCTCGAGTTGAAAGCCGCGTACCCTCATCTCCTGCACAAGGACCATCTCATTCTGCAGGAATACAATGCCGATATCGGGGTGGTGCCCGAAGTCACCGAGATGGAGTGGAACTACAAGGAGAATGGCAGTGAACAACCGGTTCAGGGGGCATTACTCTACTCCATGGCGCATGTGTTACATAATCTGTCGGACATTGAGTCCATCAAGCTCCTGGCCAAGGTCGCCCGGGTCATGGCCCCGGGGTCGCGGCTCCTGATCCAGGAGCTCACCAAGAACGCGGCCAGTGCGACGACCCACGCCGCCATGATTGTCATGCACGCCGGGCGGGAGCGGACCAGTGCCGAGTGGCAGGACTTGGCCGCCTTTGCTGGCTTGGAGGTGACGTTCGAGGCGTATCCTCCGCTGGGGGAGTGTGTGGTGGAGATGCGAAAGGTCTTGAACTGAATGGTAGGCCCTGCTGCAAGCATGTGTTTTGATATGGCGCCCAGGATAGCGATGTTGGTACCCCTATAATAAAATCCAGGTTGAAGCGCCATACCGTACCCCCATACGTAGCGCAAGCTGTCTGCCTGGGGCACTATGTTGATTTCTCACGGGATATTGGTGCTACGCCCCAGGAACCCCCGTTAACACAAGGGTCAGATCATGAATAATATCCAAATGCTATCATCATCCTACCAATGGGTTAATAGAACGGTTAAGCGAGGCAGCAGAGACTGGATGACGCTCGAGGATAGTAGTAGTGGCTGGGTTTCCATATATATATATATATATATATATACATAACAGAAAATGGGGTTTGGTGGTAGGGGGTTATGTTATAAATTGATTCTTAGTTATATGGCTAGACTGGATTTTCTATTACCCTAATTTTTAAGGGAAGTTACTATTACTAGCCTGTTTAGGCAGATAAACACTATAAGACGTGTCAATCTGGGGGGGGGGGTGTCAGCTGGAGTCCTAACTAACTACCTGAGTTTACTAGTACTTAGTCTACTATACAGTCTACTAAGCGCCTGCAGGTAGTTAACAAGTGACCAAGGACACGCTGACTAATCGTCCATTCAGTGTATTGAAGCAGACTCTGAGTGGTCACTACAAGGTCAACACCTTTTTATCCCGAAGATTCGGTATCGACTGAATCAAGCTCAGCGATGGCAGAGAAAGAATTTTAGCCTAGACCTGGGGAAGTGGGAGTATTAGGGAATGCACGGACCGCCACTTGCTGTTGAGGCTGAGCATTACTGGGTTGAGTGCCTACCATTCAGTAATAATTAAATCCTGACATATTAGAACAGGATGGACTGAACTTTCATGGACGCTCGCTGACAGCGTAATCTCAACCGGTCTGATAATCAGCATCTACTCACCGTCATTGGCTGCCACTAATACTTTTGGCCTTCTGGCCCCAACTTTATCCCTGTAAGATTACCCAAAATAGCGACACGCAGATTAGGCGGCCCATTGTATAAGCAGCTAAGGAGAGTGTATGAGCCGAAGGGAGCGATGATGACGACGCCCCGCTCATAAGGGTTACATATAGCAATCAAAGGATGTTGTTGAGGTAAAATCTTACACGCCAGACTCTATTTTATAGCACTAGACAAGAGCGCGAGCCCAAGTGGGGGAAAAAGAACATAAATACTAAGAGGGGACAAACCATGGCGGAAAAGCTCTTCAGTTTGGAAAGCTGAGAGTATCATCCAGACCTTTCCTTCTTTTCGAAGCCAAAACATCGAGCTGTCATCTGCCAAAATCACCGTTTCATCATATTTCTAGCAATCTTTCAATATGGCGCAACCAGATCACCCGTACCATGTTCAGAAATCAGTGGATAAGGTACAATCCTTTCCTTTTCATAGATCAGTCAGTGGTCTATGGGAAGAAAAATGGAAGAACCTCGCCTATTCTGGTCTTTATCCCTTTGGAGATGGGAAAGGAGAGGACTTTGACCAGATCTTTACCCAGTTGATCAGAGAGAGTGGCGATGACCCATCTGTCTTATATGACCCAGATAGATACGCCAAACCGTTCTTTCCAGTTGCCGACGGTTTGGTCCAACGCGCCAAGGAGTATGAAACGGTCGGGGACCTTGAAAACGCGCGAGATTTGTTCTTGCGTGCCGCATCGGTATACCGCATCGCGCGTTTTCCGATTCCCCGCTCGCCACTGGGCAAAAAAGCGTGGGAGCTTGGCAGGGAGGCTTATTTGAACGCTTCTCCTTATCTCTCGCCACCAAATGTGGAAGTCCATATCCCGCATCGACACGCCTCCCTTGAAGCAGGTGAATCCAAGGACGCCATCATCGCTGCTTTCCTCCGCTTCCCCAATAATAGCACAAAGCCGGAATCTGGTTGGCCGCTTTTGCTTTTTATCTGTGGCCTGGATGCCTATCGAACGGACCACACGGCAGCTTTACCTTACGGTAAGCTTGCCAGTCACCTATATCACGGCCAGGCAGTGCTTCTAGTTGATATTCCCGGTACCGCCGATTCGCCTGGGGCACCCAACGATCCTAAGTCGCCCGATCGCCTGTGGAGCAGCGTGCTCGATTGGGTCGAAGAGCACAAAGACCAATATGACTTCAACCCTTCACGAATTTTAGCGCGCGGTATCAGTACGGGCGGCTACTATGCCATGCGCATCGCGCATACTCACGCCGACCGACTGCTCGCTGTGGTCGCTCAGGGCGGAGGCAGCCACCACATGTTTGACCCGGAGTGGATCCAAGCCCAAAACCATATGGAGTATCCTTTTGCGTTGGCTGAGGCTCTGGCTTACAAATTTGGGTATACGGATGTAAAGGAATACGCGTCCGGTAATGCACGGGAGCGTTTCAGTCTTCTTGAGAGTGGAATATTCGATAAGGGCTGCACCCGGCTGTTGCTGATCAATGGCATGGAGGACAGTATCTTCCCTATCGAGGACAGCATCCTTCCTCTGCGACATGGCAGCGTAAAAGATGTGAGGCTTATCGATGGGAGAACTCATATGGGGTTTCCAGAGGCAGAACCAATTCAGCGTGACTGGCTCTTAGGAATCCTTGCGCAGGAAGACGAACGTAATGGACGACAAAGCAGATAGGTGGATCGAAGGAAGTCATCGGGTTTCGTACATGCGTAAGCATTAGACTATCAACCACCTACCTGCAGAACTGTCTATCAGGGGTATTGCTACTACTATCTAGTCGGAGTGCATGCCATATGCTATTTCCTGAAATCCTGCCGTACCACAACATGAAAAAGGAGTCCACAAGTATTGTGTTGAAGAATAAATTTAATTGCGAAATATGCTAGTACTCTAAGTACTTTCCTTAGAGTACTTTTCTGGTGTTTCTCTTCTATATCCAGAGGATCGGCAGATAGTCGCAGCATTCATGAAAAGAGGTACAGGCATACCTGGCAGTTCTTTGATGGTATTTACTTGTGGTCAGGTCTCAGATAGAGATTCTTCATCTTCATAGATCTCTGATAACCTATCTTCTAAGAAAAAGGCGTATGTCGTGCTCAATAACTGGTCTAGGTATCTCATGGAGGATCAGGTGTTGGAAATTATCCTGTCCATCAAGCCAAGGCGAAATGCTGTCTCAGGCCGGCGGGTCAGGAAGATCAGAAGACGTAAGAATGTAGACTGATGCAACTGTGGCAGAAGTTCGAGTATTATTGCTAACTCGAGAGCGATGCCACTAAGTAAAGCTAGGCAGCTACTGCCTTTCTTACCATAACCCCCGTGATCCTGCATGCGGTCGTCCGCCGGCACTGTCAGGTCGCCATAGAAATCTACAACCTTCTGGCGATCAAGGCGATGGTGGCGAAATTCATCATTCCACGACTCATTCGCAACTTGTGACCTAGGCCTGGACATTGGCGTCACGAAATCCTGCTTTTTTTAGGCCGCGAAGCCTTGGTAGAACAGATGGACGCGTCTTCCGGGGTAGGTGGTGACAATGACACACCCGGCTGTGTGGCCTGTGCGGGAAGCCATTTTATGATGGTAATCAGCAGATAGGCAGAAAATGATTACAATTATTTTACCCTTCAAGCTGCTGCCTCTCAGGTAGATCTGCCAACAGATTATGCTACGTATATTCTCATGGGACTTTAAGCTCTTCCTACTTTTCATGTACCGGACCAGGCTCAAAAGCTCATCTTTGTGAAGCTGTAATGTCTCTTTCTGTATAGATCCTGCCAACAGTACAGTCCTAACCCATAACCGCTACCATGATTATCATGTAGATTCGATGTTAATGGAGGCTTAGATGTTGCTGCTCTCCTCTGCGCGGGCTATCCTTTTCAAGCTTCTAGGCCATATTCGCAGCTGAGGTTGTGCTTCCGGCAGGCACTGCACATAGATTCACTGGAACATCGAATCTTTCGCGTAGGACAGAAAACACAGCTGCGTCGCAGACCCATGGTGAGATCTAGATGCGCCAGGAGGGAAATTGATTATCTAAATGCTGGAAGGCAACTAAACTGGCAGGTGGATGTCAGCAAGCTAAGTTCGTCATGTCAATCAGCCCGAACCGCTGCCTAAATTGGCACTAGTCCAACTATTTGCGCGGGTTCCCATGACTAGTACCACTGTTCTCCCGGGGTGACCCCGGTGCTTAGACTGCAATGAGGAACGTCCTACTGGAGATCAGGAATGCCAGAAGCCCCTTAACCCCCGGTCCTCCCAGAGACCTCGCACAATCTCCGTATCCTACAGTTGAACATCATGAAATTTAGGACAGGAATGAACCCTCATAAGCCACCACCAAATGACAGACATCGTACTCTTAGTCCTGGAAACCCAATCTCCGCGTATCGCACCCCACCCATAACACTACTCCAACCAACCCATGAATATAGCACCAAACAACCACCAAACGTAATTCAGAATGCAATTCAGGGATATCCTAATGCCACATACCAGATGTCGAAACTAATTCTAGCAGAATACTTCAATCGGTACCACCTGGCGTGAAACAACCAGCCGATACTTCCCAGCCTGATCGAACATGTCGACGAGCTCACCACTTTCTTCCAGATGTATCAACTGTAGTGATGCTTATCGCGGGGCACAGCAACATATTTGGCTCTACACAATCTAAGATTTTGGAAGCAGTAATAGCAAAATGGCTGCTATACAAGGCTGAGTCACGTAGGCTGCACAGAGCTAGTGCTACTGGTACTAGTGAGTGCGGTCGATCAAGCCTGGTTACAGATATGATTAAGGGTCGTAATGGTTGTCGCCTTCAGATTCAAGGGAGCCTTTAATAGTCTTAATCTGTCTAGGGTAGATGCACACCTGGGGTCCGAAGGAAGCAGATATACATTAGAAGTCATGTAAATAGATTAAGGATATCAGTCTTTCGGCTGAGCCGCCGGCCTTTAATGAATTTTGTGTGTGTGTGTGTGTGTGTATCACCACAACTTCTCTGCTGGAACAGCTGGCGTACCTTCCATTAGCAATCACACAGGCGTCGGCATACGTCAACAAAAAGCGCCTAGGTCTATTTCTATACCTCGGCCTTTCACGACAAGCGGAACAGGACGCCGTGGAACTCCTGATTGTAGACTTCAGAGACCCAGGACGCTATAAGGACACTCAGAACCCTGTGATCACCACCTGGTTAATATCATTTAAGTAGACTCAGCAGCAGAATCAATTAGCAGTAGACTATCTATCTTTTATGTTCTGTATCAGTCTACGAAACATCCTGTTGTCACGTCTGCCTCTCCAATCAACAGAGAAACAGAAACTTAACCGCTTGGTGCTTCTAAATGCGTACTCGATCACTCACAGCTGACGCAAACATAGCTATGAACAGACTTGTGCAAACTGCGACCCGGGACTGGCTTCGAAAATATGGGGTTTCCTGTCTCGAGATCCGAAGGGTGGCTGATCAGTTTGGAAAACTCTTCCCGGACAATAGTCATGATAAACGAGGGCTGTGGCGAGAATACCTCACCCATGCATTAGTACTTGCGCATGAGAATGACTTTATTCCACAATTAAAATAGTACATAAAATTAGTTGAGAGGATTTCAGATTGCCTTGCAAGTGACGGAAGGTATTGCGGGGCAGAGGCACTATATCGCAAGCTGATGTAGATAAATCAGGACAAAAATGGCTCCAAGCATCCCTCTACTCTGACCAGGATCGCGAACTTGGCAGTAACCTACCGGATCAGGGATGATGAAATGAAGCTGAGAAGCTGGGAGTGTAAGTTATCGAGGCATCCAGGACAGTGCTGGGAGCTGAGCATCCTGACACTCTGATCAACATGCATGATCTTGCCTTTACATACAAATAGATGGGTAAACACACCGAACCCTCAGACCTAATGACACAATGTGCTACGCTTCGTGCCAGAAATACAGGCCCTACCCACCCGGATACCTTGTGTTCCAGTGATGCTCTTACGAAATGGCAAAAGATAGCACATCATGAATATCCAAGGCCTGATAAAGATCGAAGACGAGACGCCTTGAATTGTGTTCTGGGTTTGAAAGTAGAGAACTATTATTATAGTTTTGTACCTAACTACTCTCTAATATTTATAAATTCCTTCTCAAAAGGAAGGTCTGGGATAGCAGAGCTCTAAGAAACAGAATAATTTCAGAGTAATTAGGTGGCCATCTGAGGCCCAAGGGCTGAAGTGGTACGTCAGTTGACATCCACTAGAAGATGGATGCGTCATGTGAAACCTGCCCCGCGTTGAAGGCATCTTCGTTCAGTGAGAGGCCTATCGAGACCCACGACCAATCAATCCACGTTTGGCCTTACAGTGGGTCATGAAGCTGACATTTGTTTGAGAACAAAATACATGGTAATCCACTATCTTTTCTTACTATATATGCTAATTATTACTACTATATCTCTAATGAAATAGAAGGATGCTAGCCATATTAAGTCAGATTAATAATTCAGGCGGAAAAGGCGCCAAACACAGAAACTTTTGCCGTAGAATTCTAAGAGTCTCACATCAGCACTAGACAAAATTGGGTCACAGGATCAACCCTGCGCCTGATAACAATTTCCAACACTCACTCTTCCCCTTTTCCCTCTACACATCTCGACATGGCTGGATTTCTAGGCCCCCGGGCCATCTTCTGGGCCTTCATCGTCCTCACCACAGCCGTGATTTACAAAACCTACATACACAACTTCATCTTCCTCACCCTCGGTATTGGACGAGAGATCCAACCAATCGAGGACTTCCAATGGACCTGTGAACGTGTCCGACACTCTCTCTTGGAGGGCTGTGAAGACCTGTGGCTCGATGAACAGAACCGAAAGCTGTACGCAGCATGCAACAGCCTCGAGTCTCGCAAGGGTTGGTCGCCTGGAGGCAACAATTACAACATCTCCGCAAGATCCCGCACGGATCACATCGCTGTTATGGATGTTGACCAGCCTGGCTCAGATGGACTGTACGGTCTACGTCAGCTCAAGATCAGTGGATATCAGGATGATCTGGACTTGCATGGATTTGATGTCCGCAGGATTAAAGGCCGGCTTCGGTTCTGGTTGATCAATCACAGACCTCCTGTTGACCATGCCACTGGAGAATTCCTCGATGCTCTGGTCGTTGGGGCAAACTCTACTGTTGAGATTTTTGATCTGGATGAGACCTTGGACACGCTTGAGCATGTTAATACTGTGGCCAGCGAGGCGATTGTCACGCCCAACGGCGTGGCAGTGGAAGAAGATGGTCTGGGGTTCGTGATCACAAACGACCACAACACCAAGACTGGAACGTTCCGTAATCTGGAAATGCTGTCTGGAGGCGGAAGTCTCGCATACTGTCGATCTAACACAGGGAAATGCCATATCGCGGCTGACAGGGGATTCTCCATGGCTAACGGAATAGCCCATGACAAGAATGGCTACTACTATGTCGCTAACTCTGCGTCTGGGCTTATTACCGTTCATAAACTCGTCAATAACGAATTGATCCAGGTTGAATCAATCAATACCGGGTACCCAATGGATAACCTGTGGCTTGATGTGGATGGTAACCTTATTGCAGCTGCGTTCCCTGATTTAATTGGCCTTGTGAGATCTAGCATAGATCCATACAATTCTGTTGCCCCTGCTACTGTCCTCATGATCAATGACATTGCGAAGCAGTTGAAGACTTATGGAAGGAATGTCAAACTGTCAAAATTAGTGGAGGATAGAGATGCTAAAAGCCTTCCCAGCTCGACAGTCGCTGTGCATGATGCGAAGGGTCATAAGCTGTTTTTGGCGGGTATGTTCTCTCCATTTATCACAATTTGTGAACAACGTCCCTAGTTATCTATGCCCAAGAGCGAGCACTATCTTGGTCGATATGTTTCAGAAACCTTTTTGTACATAACTCTACAGGCAGACCACTCACTCACTCCGTTGGGCTGTGATAGGTGCAAGGGGAATGAACATTCATTAAGCGTTTCCTCGGGGCTGGGAGATTCGATGTCTCTATATATCCCTTCTTCCGAGAGGTGGTCGGGGGTAGGGTTTGTTCATAAAACCCGCCCAGTTACCCCCTTTGTGTAATAGACATCCTAGGTTCCCATGAATGACTCATACTCAATTCACTTTCTCAGGTGGCACATATAACAGACCAAAGAAAGCTGCCAGACTCTATCTGGAAGTAGAATGGGAAAGAAGAAGTCTTACTGGCTCGAAATCTTCAAAAAGTCACGGTATAGCTGCTCAGCTTATAGTTTAGATTCAGTGTTGGAGACATAATTCGATATTTTATTTCCATTGGGGGCTGAAGGTAACCATAAGCTGAATGGTGTCCCGGTTCTTGTTCTCATCTCTTATCTAGGGGGAGAGGTCACATTGCCTTCTTTTTTTAGTCCGCTTTGGATTGCATCGCCATTTCTGTCAGGGTTATTGAAAAGCAGACTCAACTCACTCGACAGACCGATACCGTCTAGGAAGCTGGTGAACTTCTTGAAGTGTGTATCAAAGTCAATACCTCACATAGTTAGCCAGGAAATATCGAGCTATAAGTAATGAGCACTTACCACCCTTAAAATTTGGTGAAGATAAGGTATTAGGAGCGTAGTGCATCTCGTCCATGAATTATTAGGGTTTAGGGATTTAGGGTTTATTAGGGTTTAGGGTTTATTAGGGTTTAGGGTTTA